AAAGTTGGGACAATGAGCATATGCAGGTGAAAGGTTGAACATGACAAAGCCGTTCGATTTCGCAAGTTCAGGGGGAATTTCCCCAGCTCACATTGCCTTGAACCTGTTCCACGAGACAATTGACCGACATACCTGTCGACAATGAATCGTCTATCGCTGAGATTTGTGGAACAGAATGTCCCGCTATATACTCGTTTCAGGATACAAACTGTGAGATCATGCGTGAAATCTAAGTTCAGCCGACCCAAACGCAACTGACACTGCACTTGGTGTTTGGTATAGAAATGAGAAGTCCCTAATCTGAACCAGTTTTGAAATTGTATTTCTGAGGAATTGGGCTAAAATCGGACCCAAATTTAAAGTCGCTCTAATTTTCACGGGAGCAGACAGTGATCTGACAGGGCTGTCAGGGTAATCATCCTAGAAGTAAAAAAGAAAATTCACCAAATCGTAAAAGGTTTTAAACCCCCAAAATGAACAGAAAGTAAGAGGTGGTAAATTCAGTTTTATTGCTACTATTCTAGATCACCTATGATAGCTTAGAGCCCCCCCCCCTCCCCCGATTTTATGAAAGGGGATATTTATTTGGGTGCCAGATATGGGAGTTTATTTTCTGTTTTTCACCCTGACAGGTACGCCAACACATAACACGTTTAGCTTAAAGCAGATAGAAAATGTATACTATGAGGGATACCACTAGCCTTGACCAAGGCTGTCCAATGTCCATACTTTTTCCCTGAACGAGAGTACCGTACAGCTGCCGGTACCGTACAGCTTATATGCTGATTTGTCCGGTCCACGTTGTGCTTGCGAATTGCCACGTACACAGCGCCGCGCACACTAGCCTCAACGATCCCCTTGCTTGCCTGCTCTACATAGTGCACGTTTGTTCTAGTGTTCTATAACACGACAGATCGTGTCGCCGTCGCCGTCGCCGTCGCCGTTTCACAAGGCGACGCGATCTGTTGTTTATAGAACAGGGGCCGCCCGATAGTCCGAAGGTCCGATAGTCCGAACGTTCTTTAGTCCGAAGGTTCGATAGTCCGAATGCACAAAATTTCCATAAGAGGGGGTTCGTTAGTCCGAATATGAAGTAAGGTGCGTTAATCCGAACATTTGATGCAATAGTCCGAAGGTTCATTTATCCAAAGGTTTATTAGTCCGAAGGTTCATTTGTCCGAAGGTTCGATAGTCCGAATTTAGAATAAGGTTAATCAGTCAGAAGGTTAAATAGTCCGAAAAGAAATTAAGGTTCAGTAGTCCGAAGGTTCATTATTCCAAATTGACAATAAGGCTCGATAGTCCGAAAAAACTATACGGTCCGATAGTCCGAATCGACAATAAGGTCCGATAGTACGATTCAATAGTAAGGTTCGATAGTCCGAAGTGTCATACTGACGAACCATATTGCCCATTCGGACCATCGAACCTTATTCTCAATTCGGACTATCAAACCTTATTGTCAATTCGGACTATCGAACCCTACCATATATTCAGACTATCGAACCTTATCATCTATTCGGACTATCAAACCTTATTGTCGATTCGGACTATCGAACCCTATCGTCTATTCGGACTATCGAACCTTCGGATTAATTAACCTTATTCTATTTTCGGACTAATATAGGCCCTTCGGACTATCGAACCTTCGGATTATCGATCCTTTGGACTATTGAACCTTTGGACTAACGAACCTTCAGACTAATGACCCTTCGGACTAAAGAACCTTCGGACTACCGGGCTGTAACCTAAAGAATACCACAGTAGACAGTACGTATGCCCTACAGTTCCCCAGTCTTTCGCCTCGACTTGGGAAGGTTTATACTGTGCGTACTTTTACGGATATGTGTGTGGGGCGTACGTGCGTGTAGGCTATGCAGGCAAGCAAGGGGATCGTCGAGGCTAGTGCGCGCGTAGCCTTTTGCCAAGGCCATCGTGGCTTAGAGCGGCGGAGCTGCGAAGACCCGAAGCGACTGGAGCAAAGATTAAGTCAGCACGCACGAGTGGCTAAACCACGAGGTCTTTTCCCCACTTGATTTTGTGAATTATTCACAGTTTTTATGCAAATAAGAAGAGTGCTGAAGGTTAACCAATCACAACGCGGATGTTGCCTAGACGCTTCCATTTTTAAAAGAAGGGTGAGCAAGGAAAACGTAAGAGCAAATAACTGTAAGTTCAGATGAAAAATAAATTCATACACTCAAACAATTTCTTGAAATACTTTTATAAGTAAAATTGAAATAAGATAATGTTAGAACAATTTCGCGGTCACGATCTCGTGGAAAACTAGACTCGCATTTTTTTGTTTTTAAATTGTGTGCAAGCATCCGGGTTGGAATTTTGTTACCCTTTTGGGATGGCAAAAATCAAGATTATAAAGAAAAACATAAGAATTTCTTGACAAGTTAGAAAAGGCCCTCGTGGCTTTGCCATTCGCGCGTGTGGTCTCCCGCTCCAGTCGCTTCCCGTCTCGCCGCTTTGTCTAATGCGGGCAAGTTAAGCCACGATGGCCTTGGTGAAAGGCTAGTGTGCGCGGCGCTGTGTCCGTGGCAAGTACAGTACAACGGGTACTGCACAATCAGCTAAGCTGCACGGTATAGCGGCCGCTCGCTCGTTCAGGGAAGAAGTAGACAGCCAATTGATCAAGGCTAGTATACCACCGATTAACAAACCGATAACTGGATACTGTTTTCCTTAACCTCCTTTTAGTCGTATACAGGGTGAGTAAAAAAACAACACGAAACCCAAATGTGGGGACCATTTTCTTTATTGAAGTTCTTTATTGAAGTGCATGTAGCACTTTCAAAATCTAGGATATGAAAGCCCAATTAATAAGCTGCCTTTTAAAAGAATCATTCAAATCAAGTCACGGAATTTTAAACACAAAGACCGTTTTAAACTTCTGTCCATGGATCGCAAGAAAGGTAAGTGTTCTTTCAGCAATATGATAACAATTCACATGCATCCCTATGTGAATTGTTTTGTGGACAGAAGATCAAAACGGCGTTTGTGTTTAAAACTTGAAAAGTACATGAGTGATTTGAATGATTCTTGTACTAAAAGAAAGCTTAATAATTGGGCTTTCATATCCTATTTTTTGAAAGTGCTACATGCAGAGCTTCTTCGAGTTTCGTGGTTTTTTTTTTTACTCACCCTGTATACCTTACCCATTTCATATAAATTTACAATTTGTACGCAGACACCTATTGGGTACGAAGACAAAGTTAACAGCAGCAAAAGGGATATTCGAAGGGGGAAAACGCAATTTAATACACACACACACACACACAGAATTGACTTGTGGCTGAAAAAAGTTATTAAATCATATATGATAACAGGACCTGAGCTTTTTTCTTACGTCAAATTTCCATCGGTTGTGAGACCTTGCAAAAAATATTTTCCGATCTTCAACTTCACTTTTGAAACCATTGAGAATTTTGCGGAAATATAAGATATTGGGCATCTCCTGTGTCGTCCTATTGTTTTTGGAGGGGTCTATATATATATATATATATATAATTCATCAGATGTATACATCAAAAACATACATTCATTTATATTACAGTGTTAAATATTGTTATCAACATCTCAAATTGCTAAAAAAATAAGATTTGACCTAAAATAATAATGATGTCGTGGCAAATAAAACAACTAAACAAAAAAAAATTAAAGAAAAACTCCACAATCCCCACCCCCCACAAAATAAAGTTTACTAGCATAGCTTATCAAATTTTACCTTCACTTCGCTATTAGTACGTTCATTAATCCACATACAAACATCTCCAAAAGCATCAACACTTTAAAGGGAAAATACAACATTTGCAAACATCAAAAAATAAAACTACCAAATCATTTTGAAATACCTTGCTGGACTGTTAGTGAATGACAGTGTAAAGCATCCTGTAAAATCATGGCACCTGGTATACTGTCATTTTCAAGAAAAGTGGTATTTTTGTATCAATTTCCAACGCTGATCGGCCGATCAGCGTTGGAAAAAAACTGGCTTTTTTTCAAATACTGGCCACAATTGACCATCGCACTTGTTTGCAATCGATTACAAACCTATGAACGGGCACGAGCCAGCTAGACTGGTTCCCTGACCTTACAATTCCCCAATGTATGTAAACTGCTCTGTTTCTTCTTATATGGAGTCAGGGAACCAGACTACAGGAAAATGATTGTTTTTCTTGGTTTTTATAGCGTTTTCGAACCCAAAACATCAAAAAGGTCAGTGTAACTATATTTGCTATATATTTCCATCCATTTCTGAAAATTACAGCAAAAGCAAATGATGTATATTCCCTTTAAGCTACGGATAGTTTCGAATCGTTTCGAATTGTATTGCATATACTAAAACAAAGAGTCTAGGTTATGAACATGCAGGAGCATTATTGTTATTCTTGGCACAAGATGGGAATTAGATTTCGTTCCCATATTAATACAGCCGCTGGCGTGGTGAAGGCTGTTGCAGTGGAAGTCACCATCATCAAGATGAATCAAATCCAATCTTGGCAATACTGGCAACGCTACCCAGGAAAATCCGAACACACCTCACGTGCGCTGTATTCATATCAAGCGAGGTCGCTATGAACAAGATGAATTAAATCTAGTCTTGGCAATATTGGCAGCGCTACCCAACACATTCCGAGCATACCTCATGTGCACTTAGATATTTAATGCATGCGCGTGAAGAATGCTTGGAATTTCCAGGGTACCGCTGCCATTATTCCCAAGACTAGATTGGATTCATGTAGTTCATCGCGACCTCGATCTACGACCTCGAAGGCTTTACCGCGCTTGTTGCGGACCGGCTGTATCCGGTTCGTAAGTGACTTCGTCATAGTTGCCCGCGCGAACCACTGATTACTAGCGGCCATTGGTTAAATACTCAAGTTGCGTTAACTTCCGGTTCCAATGGTTCCAATGCTGTGCAGTGGGCGTGGTTTAAACTGAATTACGAACGGGATCGGATATGGGGAAAATCCAGTCTAGTACCGAGACTACATTGTCGTCTGCGTGGAGACTTCGAAGACGGTATTTTCCTGGGGAATCTTCTCACCGGCTGTCGAGGAGCGACACAAAAGCTCTGTGCCTGTTCCTGACTGCCACCGTCTCCAAATGGGTATGGCCAGAATGCCGAGGGCGGCACACACGAACATGGCCGATGTGACGATCAGACTCATTGTGTAGTCTCCCGTCAAGTCGTACAGGCCACCTGAAAGGAAGCAAAGTGAATGAATATATTTATTCCCATACACTTAGTCTTCTGGATTCGTATTTTACTCACTCACTGCACATGGATCCCGGCAGGTGCGGTTAAGCATAAGGAACAGTGGCGGTCTCTATCAGTAAGATGAATTAAGATGAATTCCAGGCAATGTGTAGACTTCAAGTTAAACCATGGAGGAAGGAACGGTTGAACCACACTCTCTTTGTGGAATAATGCACACTGTTAGTTTCTTTTCCGAGTCAAAGCTTTACCAAAACCGGAAAGGTGAAAGGCTTCCGCACAGGCCAGACATTTCTGAAACTTTAACTGGAGTGTAAGGCCAAACAAAAAATAAGTCGGTCTCTGGTCAGCGCGCGCGTCGATTTTAATCATGCGCGTCGATCTTTTTTTTTCTCCAAAATGTTCCGCGGTAGCTCCAACAGCGCCCTCTATTTCCGCACCTCCTCAATTTTTTTTTTACCAAAGAGCACCAAGGAATGGGGAAATTGCACCAAGGCAAATGATCGAAAGCACCAAGGCAAATTATGGACACCAATGTACATGAGGACACCAAAAAAGCAAAATAGTACCCCACCTTGTCTGTACAATCCAAGCTTGAAAAAAAAAAAAAAAGCCGCGTGGCCGCGTCAATTCCGAAACTTTGGTCTGACCAGAGACCGAATATATATTTTTTTTGGCCTAATCCCAAAATTGCGTTTTCCAGTCCCAATTACCCACTACAATTTCATAATCATAACAAAAAAAAAATTTGGTCCCAGCAATATGTTAAAATAATGAAAGCTGGTCTGATAGATATTATACAAGCCTAATTGTAATAGGTGTGAGTACTAGCAATATTAGCCCAAATACTTGGCCCATAGTAGGTTCAAAGGTAACGTACAACATTTTCAAAACATTATTATGAAATTACCTACTAATTGTAACAGTAGACAGCACCCACTGCGATCATTGCGCCTGCATATTGAATGTATGCTATCATTTTTAAGGAAAAGAAGGAAATTCTAAGCATGGTTTGGACCGAACCATGGCTATGAGAAACAGCTTGACCTCTTGCGAACTCTCGGAAGTACATGTATTTACTCCCCCCCCCCCCCCCCCCCACGCCACAGCTGGCAACAATGGACGCTAACCATTGAACATGTCAGTTTATATGCGCTTTCAACTAGCTCCTATTCAGTCCACTTCTTAAAATTGGGTCTACCCGATGTTCTCTAATACCTATGTTCCCCAAAATCCTTAGGGTAAGGGTTAGATTGTTATAGGGTTAAGGACAGGGTTGGGGAATATAGTTATTGGGGAACATAGGTATGCACCCCTTAAAACTACGTTAATTGCAATGTACATTACCTTTGAAGGCATAGAGAGGATCATTTGGTTTTCATGCATTTTGTTCCAAAGAGGAATGTTCAAAAACCTAACCCGTTGAAGTTCCAGTTCAGTGCCCGTTAAGGGGAATGTACATCATTGGCTTTTGCTGTAATCTTCAGAAATGAACTAGTTGACGGGTTAGTATAATATATCAAATATTGTTACACTAACATGTTTCAGGTTTTGTGTTCAAAACTGCTGGAAAAACCAAGAAAAACAAAAATATTCAAGTAGTCTGTTCCCTTGACTCCACTAAAGATGAAACGGGTAAATGTATAGATGCCAGAAAATTGTAAAGTAAGGGAACCAGTCTAGCTGGCCTGCACCCGTTCATGAACATGTAACCAATAGCAAACAAAATTTGGACTGAAAGAAATGGTAAATTCGGAGCAGTAGCTGGAAAATAGTTAGGTTTTTCCAACGGTGGTTGGCCGACCACCGTTCGAAATTTACACAAAAATACCACTTTTCTTGAAAATGACTTCACACCTGGTGCCATAATTTTACAGGATGCTTTAGACTGTCATTTACCGACATCCTAGTAAGGTATTTCGTAAAAATTTGGTAGTTCGGTTGTTTGATGATTGCAAATGTTGTATATTCCCTTTAAACTTGTCAGTGATGTACCTGTTAGCAAACTGCCGAAGAAAAACCCGAAGCCATTGGGAATCATGAACAATAGGGTGACGACATCAGAACCGTGGTCTCCAAAAAGCTCCATTGTAGCTGGGCAGGGAGATACATATGATACTCCCCTGATCGGTCCCACGACTGAACAAGGTACAAATTTAGAATTACAAGTGAGAAAAGCTTTTATATCGTGGTCATTTTCTTGTCTTTATACTTTCGCAAAAGTATCATTTTGACAATTTATTGAGTCTAAGAATACTTCTCTCGATCATTTCCCTGGTCATTTTCACCCGGAAGCTTTGCCAAAAGTGTCCTTTGACACAAAAGGTGTCAATTTTACCCTTGTAAGTTATACCAGTTTATATATCCCGGATTCACGACTAAATCTGACCCGGTACTTTTTAGAGTGTATAGCTTTTCCAGACTCAACGGATTAAATAATGAAAACACATAGAAACACACAGTTGGCCTCCTAATCATGGATACGATACTTTTGGAGCAGCGTGTAGTGTAACCGTAGATTACGTTTTCGTCAACACTCGCGATAGCTGGGGTATTCCGGCTGTGAAATGTATTTGCCAACAAAAAATACGTGTTGTGCTTATTAGCTGTCCTGAAATTTTAATGTTAAGTTCATCAAATCAAAGCTCGCATTTTACGAAATTAAATGACTAGGTGTAATTCCCAGCAGCAGGCCTATGGGTTCTTTTTGTATTAAATTTCAATAAAAGACTTCCCAATTTGCACTCGTACAAGGCAGTGCTTAGCTGTGTCATGCCCTTCTTTTGAATGCGACGGTCACATAACCTACGATCTCGTACGTCAGGTAATCGTCAGGTCGGGAACTAGACTAGAGATTTGGTATTAGACCCAAGACTCACTGAACGAGATCACGTAGACGAGCGGAACCGTCCGGAGAACGACCATCAGACCGGACACCAGACCACCGAGCAACAACGTCCCAACTACAACGTACAGCTTGAGACACGGCAACCGACCACCGAAGATGGAGAACAAAACTTTCCCCTCGATCTCTCCAGTCGAAGCCAGAACTAACGCCACCGTAATCTGGTTAGTTGTGAAATGAAGGTCGTGTTCCATAAAACTGGCCTGACAAGGAAAACCAGAATGAAAAATCACATAATTATTAGAGCAGTACAGCAAGAGGGATTTTCTTAAAATTAAGGGTGTTATTTTTTTTTGGCTCAGGCATGTAAACTGATACAGACCAATGAATTTCATCGATACATTGATACCGCAACAGTGCACATACGGCCTAACATTTTGATAATCGTTTTTGAAATCTCGAATTCTGGGATCACTTAAAGTAATTTAAGACCAGTGGAGGGACATTCGAACGCATTACTTACAATGCATGATACTCGAGCAAAGATGCTGTATAAAGATAGTTTGCTTTACCAATAATTATTTAGAAGAAAAAAAAAACATGTATGGTTAAATAATCCAACTTCCTTACATAATTCATGGCGATAAATGTCCACCCGATGTTGCCCAGCAAGAAACCAAACAGCCACATCCATGTGTCAGCTTGAAGTAAAACTTTGCCCTTCTTGCGAGGTAAGTTCTTGCAGGCAAGTTCGTCGCTCTCGCCATTTCCTAAGTCAATATTTGAGGCGCCATCTTGCGACGTCAACGCACCGTCGTGACGATGTTTGCACTTAACGCGCGTCGCTGCTAGCGCCTGAACTTTGACCTTAATCGGAGTCACGATGAACGCTGCGTGAAAGACGCTCAACACGAAACTCCCTCCGCCCACTGTCCTGAGACAGATGCGCCAACCGTAGTCCTCAATGAGCCAGATGAAAAGTGGGGCAAAAGTTAAGGAAGCTGTGATGCAAACAAGAAACGAAACAACAGACAATTAAAATCTAAGCGCAAATTCGGATTGACAGCAGTTTGCACGATGGTGCATATCTGCTCACATCATAACGTACATTACCTTTAACCAGCGTAGTATATTCCAAGGGGGCTAAGAAAGTACGTACAGTATAAGATAAAGTAACGTGATGGAAACCAAAAAAATCCACTTTGGCCATTCGATTCATAATTATGGAGACTTAACTTATTTCTTACACGTTTATTATGAAAGTATATCAATTGACAAACTTGTGCCGGCCAGCCAGCCATCCAGCACGCCATCCATCCATCCATCCATCCATCCATCCAGTGAGGTACAAAGAGGCCAATATGCTAACCGTATGCGGATGTTTACACCGTCTTCAAGGTAATAGATGTAGACTTATGTCTGGGATGTTTCAAAAAGCATGAAGTGAGCTTGTTGAACAAAATCGGGATTTTGCAAAATCGGGTTGGTATTAATCACTCTGTTTAAGACCGCTTAGAGTCTGCACTTGCTTCCTAAAAGTGGCACAGAAAAGGTTTTGTTTTACTTTGCGGTTATTCAAACATATCTCTGGATTTTCAAAAGCAGTCTTAATTAAACAAACGGTATTCTCAAGCTAAACCTGTAACCTTGAGGATCGTGTAAACATTTGCAGTAAAGTCCGGTTGTAAACTGGCGAAAATGGAGGGTCTACATGCACCATTATTTTCAGGACACCCTGTATTTACCAAAAGGAGGTCCCAAAAGAGCCACTGACATAGCACGAGAACAATTCTTTCCCGGGAACCAGTTGAACACGACCAGCACAACCGACTGCACGATGAAGTTTCCCCCGACGCCGACGAGAACACCGTACGTGACGATAGCGTAGGGCAGCCCGGGTACGAATGAAGTAGCCACGAGTCCACCGGTGAACACCACCGCGCCGAGAAGTGTCACCGCCCTGGGGCCATATCGCTGGATGAGCAGGGGCGAGATTGGATTGCAGAAGAGCAACGTGCTAGCGAGGGACCCTACCCAGCCTGCATGGTGTAAACGAAACACAAACAAGACAAAGCAAGAATAGTGAAGCTGGTCCAAGAGCCCATGCAAAATTCTATTTAATTGATTCAGAATGGCTATTCACGTCTTCTTATGCATCGGTGTATAACAAGGAGCCGGATATGGCCCAATTCAAGGGCGGATCCAGGAATGGCATAGCAATTAAGGCAGGCACTGCGTACATCACCACTTTTCCTTAAAAAAAAAACTTGGTTAAAGTGGTAAGAAATTGCCTCAGATCGCACTTGAGAGCATCTAGAATCCAACAAATTAATGAAACCCCACACCGTCATTTTTGGATCCACTTTTTGGGGGACGACACATGTGTTTTGCTCCCCCCCCCCAAACAAAATTGTGTTTTGGATCTGCCCTTGTGGCCCATTACGGAGTAATCATATACGACGGCACTACCCGGCTCAGAAAGTGACAGGTGAGTCAGTGAGGTGCAAGGAGAATTATGGGCTGGCCCTCTCTGGGACCAGCAACAATGTTGGAAGAAATTGCAAAGGATTTAGAGGGTGGCTAACCACAACCTCTTTCCATAGACTCGAAGGTGAGGTGCCGCCTACTTTTGATACCCCGTTGCAGTGACGAATGTGCCGTGCCCCTCCTCTTTTATGCCGCCTTTGCCCTTCCGTCTAACGACATTCAGGGATAAAATGGAGATTTCCTTTTCTGAAATACATGTATATGTGATAAAATATCATTGTAACTCCTGGTCCCGAACGTCCGAAGCTTGCTTTGTATAAAGCTTTAAAGACATATCTGTCTTTAAAACAGACATAAGCGCCTTGAGTACCTTAGTTGTTGGTAGATACGTGCGCTATATAAGACTCCTGCATTATTATTTATTATTACCAAGATAGTTTTGAAAACATTGCTGTCAAAAGGGGCGCAATGTCCAACTTGTGGCCCGTACCATTTTGTGAGCACAAATTTGTGGGCGCGATCGACAAAGTAGAGGGCGCGATCGACAAAGTTGATTTGATCTGTAAAATCTGACTTGTATTTCCATTTTATAATATTGGTAACCAGAGTCATCGAAAAAAAACACTCAATATTTTTTGTTTTTGTTTTTTGCTTGAGAAGGCCGTCCTTCATTACGTTGCTTGTCTACATTCGTATTACAGACCTGAGCGGAAGATTCCACTCAGGAAGAAAGTTGATCTTGAACTTGTGACATTTTCTTTAAAACATAATCCCCATGATATGGAACCCCAGCGTGAAACAGCAGGTGCGCGGAACAAAGGTTGTACTAAGAAGTGTTTAAAGGGCAAATACAACATTTGCAAACATCAAAAAATAAAACTACCAAATCATTTTGAAATACCATGCTGGACTGTAAGTGAATGACAGTGTAAAGCATCCTGTAAAATCATGGCACCTGGTATACTGTCATTTTTAAGAAAAGTGGTATTTTTGTATCAATTTCCAACGCTGGTCGGCCGATCAGCGTAGGAAAAAAACCTCCTTTTTTCAAATACTGGCCCCAATTGACCATCGCACGTGTTTGCAATCGATTACAAACCTATGAACGGGTACGAGCCAGCTAGACTGGTTCCCCGACCTTACAATTCCCCAATGTATGTAAATTGCTCTGTTTCTTCTTATATGGAGTCAGGGAACCAGACTACAGGAACATGATTGCTTTTCTTGGTTTTTATAGCATTTTCGAACCCAAAACCTCAAAAAAGTCAGTGTAACTATATTTGCTATATATTTCCAACCCCCCAATTCCATCCATTTCTGAAAATTACAGCAAAAGCAAATGTTGTACATGTACATTCCCTTTAAATGTCCCCGCAACACATAATGACCTGCGGCTATAAGTTATGGGTAGCTTAGTCTACTGCGTCAGAATGAACACTGATTTGTAAAGCTACTGAGAACTTTTCCACGGGTTTGTCAGAAGTGCCTGAAGGTAAATTACGGCCGGTTTCAGTGGCAGATCCAACATTTTTCCAAAGGGGGCGTGGCTGGGGTTTGGACGTCAAGGGAGGGAGAGCTGAATGATGCAATGCAGTAAACGCATAAATCGACCAAGTTCTGAAGCGACGATGACGTTATTCAGGTGATTGTAATTTATGTCATGTATTTTTACTGCAGTCCTTGTAAATGCACCTTTGTGTCCCATTTAACCTAATTTTTAAATTTCATTTTGCCATTTTCAAGGGCATATTAGAGCCTTTGGTTTTTATGCTGATGCAAATTTGCATATTCATGAGCAGAAGTGTGATGTCATTTCAGGCAGAAACCTCAATGATACAGCTATTTCAGCACCAAATTTTGGATATTTTGCTGTCGTAAATTTTCTTTTCTTTGGTGATTCGTTGTTTCTGTAGGCCAATGAGCAAAGTTTTCTCACAGATGTTTTCTCACAAATGTTTTCAATGAGCAGATTCAAAAAATTTGGTTTCAAAATTTGAACAGAAAACTCTTTAGTTAACAGTTTCTTCCTGTTATGACATCACAGCAACAGCGCCCTCATTTTGCAGGAAAAGCATGGAAAAATTTAAATGTTTAAAAAGTGCATTTTTCGATACAATGAATTTTGAAATGGCGTCAACTTGGTGCTTGGCTCTTGGTTGGTTCTTCTCCTAAGTACTCCACGTGGGAGTTTATACAGGAGGCCAGAAACACCGGGGCAAACCCCTTCTCTTAGCGATAAGTGTTTACTGGGTTCTTTTATGCAACACACCTACAGCTTAACGTCACATCCGAAGGACGAAGCAATAAAGGTTAAGTGCCTTGCTTACGAGCACAAGTGCCCGCCCGCGGGCTCGAACCCACGTCACTTTTGCCTCTGAAACACCAGAACATGAGTCCGGTGCTCTTAACCGCTAGGACATTTCACTCCATACTTGATATCAGACATTTAAGGGGAGTAGATAATTGCAGAAATCAATGTTCACAAGTAATAGATTCATGTCATGAGCCCTTTAAGGAAATGTTGGATTGTTTTCACAATGTAAATAACTTAACATTGGTGCATGGTGTGGTTTATAGCCACCCCAACCATCCCCTTTGATCTTCTCCCTAATGATCGGCTCATACTCAGCGCAAGCGAACATCACAAGTATTTGCGTTAAGCCCGGTTCATCATCGGCGCGAAAGCGAAAGCAAACGCGAATTTGGGACGTCTTGGCAAGTATTCGCGCTGCGAATTCGCAAAAGTTTAACACATTTCAACTCGGGCGAATTTCGCAGCGAATGTTTCACGACGTCAAATTCGCTTCGCATTCGCATGAAGTATGAACCGGGCTTTACGAAATAAAAGTTAACATACTATTCCAGCAAATTTGCAGCGAATGTTTCGTGACGTCAAATTCGCTTCGCATGAACTTTTCGTTCGGTGTGTACTCGTTGCGAACGATAACGCGAACGCAAAGTTTGACGTGCCAGGGGTACTTTTTGCCTTGTGAATTATGAAGAGTTGAAAAAGAAGGCTTATTTTGAACTGGGCCATTTTCGTTGCGAATTTACGGCGACGTCAAATTCACGTCGCAAGTTAGCATTCACGTGAATGTACACTGCATTTTCGATCATGTTGAGATTTTGATGTTGCGCAAACAGTCCCACAATGCAATGCAACACGTACATTCACTGCGCATTTCCGGTGTCGCAACAAACAATAAAACGGAACGAATAGATAGCAAGACCTTTTTTTACCTGTAATGGCAGCTCCAGAGCCAAATTCCTCTTGGAAACGGGCAAAGAGAATGTTGTAACTCAAGATGGATCCGAGGACGATAAAAAGCTCCACAAATGCAATAAGAACCATGCAGCATCCTTGGTGTCTTTGAAAGAAAGATCTCAGATCGATTGACTTCAAGCTCGCCATATTTTACACAACATTTAACATTAACATGGAACAACTTGTTCTAACTGAACTGTTGAAGACAATTATGAATGTGTTTAGCATATTTGCTCTTTTATGATCACCATAAGGGGGCGCTGTTAACAAAAACAATAGAGGATTGCAGGTCTGCAAATGAATTGCTACAGACAACGTATACGATCTCTGCTACATACAGACGCCCAAGATAAATACATGTACAATGTATACACTCACTTCCTGGAAACAGGTAAAATTAGTCTGAAAAAAATTCAACCTCATGTAGGTGTTCAAGACAATTGAAACATCGTGATGTACCACATCTTTCATTGTTTGAGAAGGAATTCTCCACTCCTTTTCAATATTTAACGTACATTGACTTTCGAGTCCCATTTTATCAAAATTTATTTTATATTTTATTTTATTTCTTTCTGGTAATGAAACCGAGGATTCCTCAAAAGTGCCCTAAGCACTGTAGCTCGAAAGCCTGAAGAAACCTGTAGAGAGAAGACAATGAGAAGAATTTACAGTTTTAGAGGTGGGAGGAAAAGCCCAGAGGAATATTCTGAGGAAAACTCATGGAATCTGGTAGGGACTGAAAACTCCATCCACATAATCGGCTCAGGCGGGATTCGAACAGGGGTCACAGCGGTGAAAGGCGAGGAAAGTCACTACGCCAACCTGACTCCTCATTTCTCAAAAGTTCAAGTAATCCTTTTTACAAATCCACAAATTCAATGACCACAGAACTCTGCGAAAGAAACTAAACTGAAAGATCAGTCTCAGAAACTAAAAGAAATTGCAAATAGTGACTCTGGATGCTGTGGGCCCACTAGCCTGGAACATAATTAGGCAAGCGCTTTGATAGAGATATAGAAGTCTTTTGTTTGTAAACATTGGTGCTATTTTGTATGGGCTGCCGCAAGCGCATAAATTAAAGTCGTGGTTGGCAACATATTTTTCCAAAAACCCATAACGCCCTCAATACATAGTGAAAAGGCATCTTTAGGAATTATGTTGTAGCTTTGTAGACAATGTTGTATTTCCAACCATCAAATATTATTTTGGTTATCTGTAATAACTCTTCTTCATTTTTGCAGTGTCGGAACTTCCATAGTTTTGCAACCCGTGGTTGGCAGAAATGCAGTTTGCCAACCAAGCGTAGAAAGGTCTATACTTCAATAGACCTTATTCACGAGGTAGCCATTTTTGTCGTGTTCCCTGAATGTTTCATAATTGTTAACTGTAGAATGGGATGGCGCCAGACTATTTAGGCTATGCAGCCTTATTTTACTTTCATCTTTTTTTTTAATTTGGCCTAAAACATTAGGGAATGTTTAATTACAAAGTTTAAACTTTTCATTTAAACAGATTTGAATTATTAAGTAGGCCTAATGTTCTTGCTTTCATTTTTCTTCGCAAGTTCCAAAAATGAAGATTTTATATTTACCTCACTTTCAATTAATCATGGCCGACTCGTGAATAATAAGCAAGTCTAACAAAATATCCCAGTGGGCGCACGCGTCAACGAGTCTATGATGTAGTAAAACTTACAGACGTACACCAAAAGACATTTCAGAATGATATGAATAAAGTTATTTTAAAAAGAGTACGTTTTATTACAAAAACGCATGTCCGACATTGCATAATTCAGGAGGCATATCTTTTACAGCCAGTAAATAAATAATTAAAGAACTCTCTTAACGTTTAACTTTATAAGCCATCCTTGGTTTGTTCTAATACAAATTCTACATGTAAAAATATAACATGCACATATTGCATAGCTTTGAATTTAACAAAATTCTGAACATGAAGGAGATATCTTACCCAGACTTAAAAGCGACAAGTGCTTTTTTGTGTTTAATTCTAACGAAAAACAAGGCACATATTATTTGAGTGAACCACGACAGGTGGGCGTGGTCACGACGTCACCTTCAGTTCATAGAAACATCACGAGCCATGAATTTTAACCACTAGACCACACTCCCTATCAAATTTACGTGCTAGACCAAAAACCTCCTGCTGAGAGCCATTCCCAACCCAATTAACACATCGCGGCAGAATCGCGTCAACGCAGCTTGTAAAATATGGTCCAATTACATGATATACAGTTCGTTAGTAAAAACGTCATACACGCGCGCGCACCACCGATTACTAGCGCCCATTGGATAAACGCTCGAGGTGTGTTAACTTCCGGTTCCACAATCCGGATTGGCTACAAACGCTCGAGCTGCGTTAACTTCCGGTTCCAATCGTGCAGAAGTGCTGACGTCACACTAACGAACCGGATACAAATGGACGCGGAACGCGCAAAAAACTGAGACAAATAAAACATACTGTACAAAATCTCCATAGGGTTGTCTGAGGGGCATTGCTAACTCGCAAAAGGCGATAGGTCAATTACTATAGTCTAATGTAATTTTGTAAGGTATAACCTATTTTTCTTCTAAGCAATTCTTTCCAAGCTCAACAATTGTCTGTGCAATAAGCAGATCACTATGCTGTGCTAGATCAATGACACTGACATTTGGATTTTGAACATACAGGTATCTCATGGCATTTTGTAAAGTGACATGCTATCTTTCGAGATCAACCATTTTCTGGGTGAGCAAATCTCCCCGCTTATTTGCAGCTCACCGACACTTGCCCTTGATTGATTTTTTTTCTAAACACATGTCTCTTTTTTACACATCGACGGTTCGTCAGATTGAACGATGAGTTCATCATTCATCTTCATCACCGGCTGCAAGGAATCCACGATATCCCTGTGTCCAACTTCTTCCAGAGCGACAATCAGGTCTTGGAGCCTGGCCATGGGTCCGGCACTCGTCCGCCAGTCCACCAGAGCTTCGTGGATCTGCTCGGCGGTGTTGTTCGGGTGTCTGGCCTCGATGTGGCCGAGCTTGACGTCCGCTCCCTCGCCAGTCAGCTTGCGGTACAGAGGGCGCCAGTTCTTGACCGACAGTTTGCTTTCAACAAGCTTGATTTGGGCATCTGTCACGATAGCGCCTGATACAAAGAAACAAAAAGAAAACCGGAAAAGATTAATCGATTATACCACAAGAGTGAAACAGTTCGTTCTACGTCGGGAGATGTACGTCGGGAAGATGTCTTTCTTTTACAGAATGCATTGCTTGATTGTGAATGACAAAGTTGGACTAAGTGTGCTGTACAAAATAAAAGGAAGACCTTCAACTCTTCCCTCTTCCTCGAAATTTTGGTCTTCAACTCGAAGGAATCCCTCCGAGAAAACCGTCTTCTCGTCAGCTACTTAGGTTCTTATCTAAACTACAGCACACTTTCTCAAAACGCAATTTAGAATCTCACCTGTTTCTCTGTTGTTGTTCACATTCAAGTAAGATTCTATCGTTTCCTGGGGGAAAAAGAGTGGGAAATATAATTAAATGAATTGAAGTATTTCAATTGTGTCTCTCTCCACTGGATACATCCTTAGATTCTGTTTTATCTGTCACAGTCAAGTCACAATTTCCTCCCAATAGACAAAGGGGTATCTGTTCCTTGCTCTATGCTGATAGTAACAACTGGCATATCAATCACCTCTAGTCAAAAGCATGGCTATATCAAATTAACAAGGGAATTCTTAACTGTTAAAATCAGTAATTGGATCGATTTTGATTGTTGTGATTGCGTAGCTGAATTGCCTGCCAGAGAGGGAGGGTTCGACCTTTAACAGAAATGGTACATTGAACATCACTGGTACAACACCACCATCAAATGATGATAATTCCAAACTACTTGCAGTGCATGTTTTAGCCAACCTTTACATGTATCTGGAAGACAGACTAAGCATGAATGTGCAACACTGGCACATTTTATGCGGCACATAAAGGCAAATACATAGCCTAGAACGTATGCCATGTCAGAAACAGGCTTTCAGAGCTAAGGCTACGTCTTTTGCCAGCATGAACCCACAAGGGCGGATCCAGGGGGGGGGCCAAAGGGGGTTATGGCCCCCCTAAAACAAGAAACCAATTTTTTTTTTTATGTGACATCGCAATAAAGGCAGGCAATGGGTACACCACCATCTTTTCCTCCAAAAAACATTGGTTAAAGTGGTCAGAAATTGCCTCAGATCGCACCACAGAGCATCAAGAATCCAAAAAAATTTCGGGGCCCTTAAGCGGGCCCCGAACCCCACGCCAAAATTTTGTTGGCCCCCCCCCAAAAAAAATAGTTTTCTGGATCCGCCCTTGTGAACCCATGGCATGCAGTTGTAATGTTCCAAGACCTAGACAATAACCCTAGACAAGAGAGTTGGATGCGGCTTTAGTCCAAGTCAAAATGGAACCTCTCATCTTTACCTTCGCTGCAAGAGGCACGGTGACAAGAATGTTGGTGGGGTCGCCCTCGGGCCAGTTCTCCTGCTTGATGCAGACTATCGCCTTGAAGAAAGACAGTTGCTTGTCCTTGGCAGGGTTCTTGGGGCTGAAGGAGAATGTCTGACGGGAGAACATGAGGGGTGAGCAACATCGAATCAGCGACTGGATTGGAATTACCTGATGAGGAAAGAACAAAAATGATGTTGAATGGAAGTCACCCATTACACTGCCGAAAGCCACTCAATGTGAAGGGCTACATAGAGAAGTGTAGGGGATAGAAACAAGCGAAATGAACAGAAAAGAAGATTCAAAAGATGGGACTTGATGTTTCTCTTCAAGGAGATCATATCACACGATGAAGGGAAGCAAGCGTCAGGCAACGAGTTCTGCAAAGATGCCACGCATGCAAGGTAAACAGCTACTTGCATCCGGTTCGTTAGTAAAAACGTCATACACGCGCGCACACCACTGATTACTAGCGCCCATTGGCTGCAAACGCTCGAGCTGCGTTAACTTCCGGTTCCAATCGTGCAGAAAGTGCTGGAGGTGACGTCACACTAACGAACCGGATAGCTCTGTATATATTCTTTACCCGAGCATTGGTAGAGGATTTGGCTGCGAAGGGTGTGTTTGAGCTTTTTTTCCTTTCCTTAAATCGATATAAAACATTGGCATTGTCGAGGGGTTTTCAAGGGGGACTCCTGAAATGTACTGTTATCTTTGAACTCACCTTCTTAGCCGGCAGGCATCCATTGTAGGTATCTAGTTTCCACTTCCAGTCGTCTCCCATGCAGTCCTCTGGAACACTGATCTCGATTGGAGATGGTTCCTTGCTCTTCTTCTTATAGCCTAAGATGAGATCGTAATAACCTGTGTGGCTGTCGCTGTACCGTTCATTCTGGTCGACCCGCACTCGGGCATCCTGGTAAAAGAAACACAAAACGTTATCAAAGTTTTTATGAACAAGATGCCTTAACTGTATGCAATAAACTCTGCAGGTTTTCTCTGAACTTGTCTGAAGTCCCTTACCTTTATTGGATCAAGGATATAAACGTTCAGATCCATCTGCTCACGACCTTGGACCTTTGTGTGAATCCAGTAAACTACAGCCTCCAGATGAAGAGGGTGTTCTTTATGGCATCCTGTGCAGCAGTATTTAGAGAAGTGTGACGTTGAGACATTGAAGTACTTCTCGTCGACTGTGAAAGTCACGTCGTCACCTTCTACAGAAGCCTTGCGACAGCTTTTTCCAGACTTGGTTAAGATACATTTCTGTTCAACAGAAAACCAAGTTGACTCTGATTTGGCGTCACTGGAAAGCAGGAAGCTGTCAGCCTCCGGGTGTCGGTTACTGGTAGCAGGTTCGGTTAGCCTCTTGCATTTGGTGTCAGCGGCGGGATTAGTGTAGTTCACACAGAAGGTCCAGCCAGGCTTCATGCGGGCACAATGTGGAAGCCTCATCCTGACATCCTTGTTGAATCTCTTAAGTCCAGGGGATTCAAATTCCACAAGGGGAGTCAACCACAGGGAGTCAGGGTCTTTCTTTTTCGGTCCAGCGACATCTGGTCGCAGCGAGACCTTTGCAATGATTGTCTGGTTTTGATGGTCGGCAGGGATAGCACCTGGTGGAATCTCCAAGATGACATCAGAGTCTTCGCAAGAAAGGACGCCCCCTTCTGGGCCGAACTGGCCGATCATGACAAGCCAGTATGGATCTTTGCCACGGAGGACTTGAATAGGAGCTGGGGAGACCGACTCGTTTTCTTGCGAGACCATAATTGTTACGGCACCCTGTTCATAACCTGGTTCTCGGAAGATATTCAGGTTACTTTCCTTGGCTCGTTGGGAACTCGGTTCACTTTGAGGTTGACGTCGGTCTGAAAGGCTCGTTTCTCCCTGGATCCCTCTGGAAGTTGATCTATCACTGGAACTATCAGATGTAGTGTTTGGTCTATTATCTACTTGATTATGTACTGATGAAGACTGTACAGACGATTGGGTAGCATCATGAGGAGTCGATAAGACATTATTGAAGCATCCACTTCGAGACTTCTGGTACCGTTTTCTACACTTGGCTCTATGGTTTAAAGCATACAACAGACACAAAAAGAGAGATGTTAACAAGAATGCTCGCAAATCCAAAAGATGAGATGCACAAAAAGGGATATTGAGATTGATCCTTAACAAGGACTCAAGCCCAGCCATTTTTTTTTTTGGGGGGGGCAGGTAGTTGGTCTAACCATGACAATGATACAATACACATGGGATCTGAGATTTCTTTGTGTTTTATTTTTTTCTGTAGGGTGTAACAAACGCTACAGTTGAAATTGTTTATAATTACCTTTTATATATGAGGGCAATTCCCGCAATGGCAAGCATGTTCAGTGTCACTATGCCAACTGTTATAACAGTAACTTGTGTTCCAAGTGCTTTGTGTGATGGCGGTGGCGCTGTAAATTGATCGACTGTGTCAATGATGCCACTGTCTCCCGTGCTGTCATCTACTACGAATACCAAGTTATTCGCTGTGGTCCGGGGCAAAAGAATTGCGGTTGAAGATGATGCCTGAGTAGAAGTGTCTTGTGCTGGATCCTGTGGAACTGAATAAAGATTTGATTTAAAGATTAAACAACAAATTAATTAAATTTACATTATTTATGTTTACTTTCGAATGTATACTAGTGCATACTAGTATCTCTTTTTACGGTTAGAATGTCCAACCAAAAGTAACTTTCTTTCTAGCTTTGTCCAAGGCAAACTGATCACAGGGCCCATTGGCTTCAACGACTTCGTCAGATAAACATTTGCTTTCAGCTGTTTAAGCTATTTTTTTTCAGTTCAACTTGTTTTTTACATTCAGCGTATTAAAAGTCAGCCGAAAAGCCCAAAGGTAAAATCAACCTGTGCATCACAGAACTAATCTAGTCATATGCTTAAGTGCTAGCTAATAATGTCGCCGTGCGTGTGCATACGCTATTTTGAGCCAATTACGAAAATGCGTCATCCCGGACTTATTGTTCGTATTTTGAAATCACAGTTTTGTCTTGGATTTCCCCCAATGCCCTCGTGTTTCGAATAAGACGGGAAAAAAACAAACAAACAACAAAATAGCTTCCTGTTCCTTTTTATCTCCCACATAGAGTTTACTTCCCTTTCAGAGATGCGTTTCGAAATTACCTATTCGCAATAATGACTCATCATTCATCAATTTCGTCCAACCTCGAAGAGCTAACTCTTTGAACCAACACAAATTCAACATGTTTAAAAGTTAATTCCTCCTAGCTTTTTTTGAAAAAGTTTTGGGATTGACATCAGGGAATTAATGTTTAACTACTTACTGCACATCTGTCGGTCCATGTCGAACTGGTAGTTGGGTTCGACACAAGTGGAGCTACAAATGGTGTCCCTTCTTCGATGACAGGGGGAAAGAATTCGAACTCCAGGGGGGCATGACCGACAGGGAAGACACACATAATGTCTAAAGTGCAAAGGGACAATGGAGTGAGAAGAATTTAAATGTCTATTATGGCACATGTTTAAGAAGGATATAGGCCTACAGCATAATTAAGGATGAGTTAAAAAAAAAAAGGAAAAAAAAGCGGAACTCAACCTCCCCCCCACCTCAAAATATATTTCATATTTAAATGATATGTTGCACTAAACATTAATAACGACTGGAGAGACAATTTCATAAGCTACTTTTTTTACAAGATGGCCTTCAAAAGGAATGTGTTGCACATTTTTAACTTTTAAACTGAGGCTGGGGATGTTTGAAGACAACTGTGACGACGATCCTTGAAATCGCATTTTGGACAAAATGGGTTTTAGGGTCATTATGTTTAAATGGGGATATTCTTTGAACGGATTGAGCAACTTCAGTATTTTTTCATCTAAAAGTAGCTTATGAAATTGGCTTTCCAGTCATTATTATGTTTGATGCTACACATTTTTTTAAATATTAAATATATTTTTGGGGGGGGAGGGGTGGTGGGTTCCGCTTTTTTTTACTCACCCTATATTGCAAAGAGCTGTCCTGTTCCTTATTTATCTTTGACCTTGACTTACATATTATCTTGTCTTAAAGAACTTCAGTCAAACATGCATGCTAGTATTGTTCACTGAGGGAATGAGGGCGCGGAAGAGATAGCAGTTTTCGACTCCTAACTTTATTTTTCCTCGGAATTTTTCCTCGGATAGAAATCGGGATAACATCGATCACGGTTCTACATGATGCGAATCACATAATGGGTTCGAAATCTTCGAATGTCACCTCATGGAGTAGTGCGATTTTTTTCTCTTGAGCCTTTGAAATAACTTGCAAGTCAGAAGGACAAAAAACGGAGCACAAATCACATTCGAACTTTTGAAGTACAAACATTTATTAATCAAAACATAAATTTCGGGTTTTTTTACGAACCTGATTTCACCGTGCCGGTTGATGAACGATCTAACTAGGGGGTCACTGTCATCGTGCCCTCTGTGGAGAATCTCTGCGTACTCGTGATGAAGCAGGCATTGAGGCTCCGTGTCCGTGACAGCCAGTAAACTCGTGGTGGGAGGGTCTGGATCAGGGCGCGTTGAGATTGCAAGCTGGTCTGCTCCGCTATTGTGTATGAGATTGTCTAGACTTCGTTTGGTCATGTGCTCGTTCTTCAAGGGCAGACCGAGTGAAGCTTCCGGCATGAGAGTCACAACTATCAGCCAGATCAGGAGAACATGGAGAAAGGAGAGATAGCGCTTGCGATCAGTCATCGTTAACTGTTCTTTGAGAGTCGAAGTTTTTTACCTACCGAAAAAAAATTAGACAAGGGATACAAAAAAATTGGTATACTCACGTGATAGATTGGCACTCATTCTCTAGTTGTAGCACGTACTTTGCTAATGTTGATAACTTTTTTTTTACTGGGCCTGATAATAACGCAGAATAGCGTTTTCGCTTGGATATTCAGAAAGCTCTATATAGTATGCGTTCTAAAGTGATTCAGCTGTAGAGAATGCACTCTTAACGTCAAAAGTACATGCCATGGATAGCTACTATAGGCCTACTCTCTAAAGAGTGAAAAGTTATTCTATACTCGAGTGAAAATGCTCTCATTCAAACTGAAGGTTCAACACTTTACTAAATAAAAACGCAACGAGTTTTAACTCTGGTTTCAACACAGTGTTCATTTCAATCAATTAGAGTTGTCTTGACCAGGTACCTGCATGATTTTTCTCTTTGGCAATCACTGTCTTAGAGATTTGAACATGACATAAGGCCTGACATAAATACAAAAAGAACTTACAGAGATATCCGTGTGAACCTGCTTGAATCTTCTCGAATGTTGAGTTTGCGAGTTGTAAACCTCTTATAAACAAATTGCAAACGTTTGTGATGAGACTTGTCCTATTTTTAGAAAAAGCAGTCATTTTGTTATAGTCAGGGATTTCCCCAAACACTACAGCGTTGCATAGCGCACCTCGGCGGCTCACAAAAACCGTGTCACAATAGAACTTCCTGTTTACGTTCCGCACGGTTTACTTTCGCTTCCAAAATTAGTTTTGCAATCGCAGCTTAAGAAAAAAGCGGAGCAAAACCAGTTTATATTTACGATGGGCAAAATTTTCAAAAAATTGACACCCTAAATAAAAAAAAGAAGAAAATGAGTCTTAAGCTTGTACGGAGGATTTAATCATTTTATCAGTTATTTCAATATTGATCGAGTATCAGTATCTTTCAGTGGTCAAAGGTCACTATTAAGTGCACCAGTGAGCAAGGATTTCAGGGCCACATTTTTGTTTTTTCCATTTGGGATGTGTTGGGATGTGATTGAAAATTGTGATTCTTTTTAGACGTTCTTTAAACTTTAACAGAGGAAACTCGCAAATGTATATCAGGGTAATGTATTTTTTTTTCTTTTTCGAGGGGGACTAGTATTGACCAAACATATTTTATTGACACTTTGACAGTTCAAATTAAATAAAGCGGAGGCAGCCCCCCAATCACCATCCCCCCACACAGTCACACACACCGAAAAAACTCACAAACTTACCCAACAAGTTCCTCTAATTAAAATCAAGTTCTGGAAAGTTCTGGTTCCCCAAATAGCCTAAAATTGTGTTCAATATAGTATACGCATGCAGTAATAATGATTGTTCTCGCAGTTTTGGTTTGGGGTAATTCCATCGTAACTGACGTTACGTTTAAAGAGGGTCTTCCGTCAACTCGATGTTTTTGTTCTATGGATTCTAAGCGGTTTTTTAATGTTTCTCACAAAATATCCCTTGAAATTTAGTGACCCCATTACAACAAATCCTAACAAAAATAAACTTCTGTTCATTAATTAATGGAAAAAAGTTTTTGTTTTTTTTCCATCGCTATCTCACTTTACAAAAAGAGGACATGATAATGTACTTCCATTTGAAAGTGTACACTGCGCACGGCTTTCAGTCAATCAGAAAATCTCTATAGAGGGATATACTTCGGCAGATCATCTTAGGCCTACAGTACCACACAGTTCGATTTGTCGGCGTATCTTTGTAAATAATGAAAGGTTTGCGGAAACACCATGTGCGAATAATTTCTCAACTAAGGCCCCCCAAAAAGGTCTCCGGTTTCTGGTATGCGCGCGCGTCGCCGTAGCCATGCGCGTCAGCAAAATGAAAAAGTTGTTTTTTTTCCAATGAAAGATGATGTCTCAAAACCGCCAAAATCACTGGTTTGACTGGAATCCTGCTGCTGCACAATTTTAACGTGTTTTTAGATGGGGTTATGATCGAGAATAAGCTTTATGTGGCCTCTCAGTCTGGATTCCCATATATTTGCACTAAGTTTAGCCGGGCACCATTTGCAGTCATCAGCCGACATTTGAAGCAAAAAAGACAGGTAAAAAAAAAAAAGCCTCGTCGCCGCACCACTTTTTGGGCAAGCTGCATACCAGAAACCGGAGACTTTTTTGGCCTAAGAGAATGGTTCTGAAAAGAACTAGAGGTATAAACTCGGTCAGTATGCTCTGACCGTCTTCAGGAGAGTGCGTATATCTTTGGTACAAGTTTAAACGTACATTATATAACAAAACTAATAATTCAAAACTAATAAAACAAAACATTCTTTAGGCAATATGAACCTTTCCCTCCGTCTTAAAACAAAAACTCACAATAACAATACAACTTGCACTTTGAATGTAAAACTTGAGCAAGGTGCTAAAATGACTACATCAAATCAATCATTAGGTCTCAAAAGTTTTGTTGACAAAATTTATAATAGGCTATACATAGTCGGTGATATAAGCAAAACCAAATTTGAATCATTACTCCAATGGAAGGTTTTGTTTTCCCTTTAATTTGATACCACCAAATGAGGTTGTGACGCTTGTAGTTCTGCAGTTTTCAGAATGTTCCACTTTCGAAAGCCGTTTGGTGGAATTGCTCGTTGAGCTTTGAATAGCGAACTTCCGGGTAAATGCTGGTATTGTATTGTGCTGAAATACAGGGTGAGTTAAAAAAAAAAAAAAAATCGGGACAATTGTTTAGTGCAGTTCTGCATGTAGCACTTTCAAATTCTAGGATATAAAAGCCTAATTCATAAGCTTTCTTTTAGTACGAGAATCATTCAAATCAGTCATGTACTTTTCAAGTTACGGAATTTTAAACACAACCACCGTTTTAAGGTTCTGTCCACGGATCACAAAAAAGTCCAGTGTTCTTTCAGCAAAATGAACACAAACCACATAGCCTACGGATGTGTGCGAATTGTTTTCGTTTTGCTGAAAGAACGCACACCTTTTTTTGTGATCCGTGGACAGAACTTTAAAGCGGTGGTTGTGTTTAAAACTCCGTAAATTGAAAAGTACACAAGTGAGTTGAATGATTCTTGTCATAAAATAAAGCTGATGAATTTAGAAAATTATATTTAACATTAGAAATATAATTATATAGAAAATTAGAAAATTAGAAAATTATATTTAACATTTTTTGTGTGAGAGGAAAAAGAATACAAAACAAACATTTTGGATTTTTTTGGGTAGATGTTTTTGGGTTGATCGTAGATACATTGCAGGAGGCATTGCTTAGAACTCGCTGTTGTCGGTTAAAATTATGTCAATGAACATGTAAAACCAACGAAAATTATGTCTTCTAAACAAGCAGTAAATCATGTTCAAACAAGAAAGGAAACTGACAAACTTTTTTTCCCTTTTGCAAAAGGTCATTTTTACGTAGCAAAATAGCAATGACATCAGCGAAATATTGTTCTCAGAGGACCCGCAAAAAGAAACTTGGAGTGGCCAATATGAGAGAACACACAAAGGCCTTTTTTTGTTGTTGATTATTCCGAATGGAAGTTTACATCATGCCGAAAAAATGTTGGTATTGAACGGTCGACGTTTATCCCTGGAGCGGACAATGGTAACACGGGGAAATTAGGCAACGAAATACTGAGGATTCCCCTTACAGGGGAAGTTCCCTTTTAATACCGCCCAGCATTGCGTCATGACCTTTGGCAACAAGGTTGATGTGACCTTTGTGTTCCTGTTGTTTGAACAGCTATGAATGGAGCACTGTACGAGTAAAAATAACGCCTCGTCACGCCAATAAATTCTTTCAGCTTTTTAACTCTGCACTTACCGTATATGTCCAGTAAACCCCAAACCACAATTTCAATAAAAAAAAATGTTATGAGAAACAGTTCTCATACAGAATCGCTGCCTAATTATTCAACTGACAAATATTGAGTTAACACCTTCCTAAAGGTACAGGATGGGCCGTACAAGAAAAAAAACACAGGTGTGGCACCACCCTTTTCAAGAATTAGTTAAAGGGAATATACAACATTTGCTTTTGCTGCAATTTTCAGAAATAAATGGATGTGGAGGATAAGTATGCTATAGCAATTAATTGTTAAAATCAGTTGTTTCACGTTTTGGGCTTATAGATGCTGGAAAAACCCAAGAAAACCAATCATGTCCTTGTATAGTCTGGTTCCCTAATCCCACTTAGGATTAAACGGAGCAATACTTTGGGGAATTGTAAGGTCAGAGAATCAGTCTAGGAGGCTTATAGCCTACCCCTTCACAGGTGTGTAATCAATAGCAAAGAAAATACGGAATAACTAAATATGAAAAATTAGGAGCAGTTTTTGAAATAAAAAGCCAGTTTTTTTCCAACGCTAATCGGCCGACCAGCGTTGGAAAAAAATACAATTTTTGTTGAAAATGTTAGCACACCAGGAGCCACGATTTTACAGGATGCTTTAGACTGTCATTCCAACAATCCAGTTACTTATTTCGTGATAACTTGATTTTTCTGGTGGTTTGCAAATGTTGTATCTTCCCTTTAACGCAGGGCCGTTAAATGATTCTCAGAGGTCTAACGTAACAAATCTTCAACTTAATTAACGTCTGAAATTAAAGGCATGTTAGGATCATTTGCATTTATCCCAAAGGTAACATTCCGCTTTTATTACTTTAAAAAAGCTTACTTGGCAAACAGATCGTACTGGTACTAAACACCAGACAGTAAATTATTCTATCTGGCTTGCTGTCACTTAGAAAAAAAAATCAAGAAATGTAGATTTCCAACATTGAACAATCAGTCACAAGAAATAATGGATGCTATAGACGAAATCGTATTTTGTGATCGAAAGGGTGTGCATATTTTTTTGTTCACTGTTCAACTGAGCTGAAAGTTCAACAGGTTAGGTTTTGAACATTCCTCTTTGGATTTTGAGTGGTGGTATTATTGGAAACACCGAAAGTGCGTGAAAAGCTAATGATCCTATGGCCTACGCCTTTAAAATACAAAAAGGACTGAATCATTGCCGTTCATCTCATGCTCCCTGCGTGTGGGTGCATAATGTGAAGTAGAGTTGTTTATTCAGCTGATGTCAGTAGCGGAACCAGGATGTCAATCCATAGCTGGCATAAGGGTTCAAACTCTTAAAAAATTAATGTTTGAACACTCCAAAATACTGACGATTAACGTCAAAAGAATTTTCCTGTTTTTCTTCGGGGGGAAACAGCTTCACCTGACGCAATCACGGAAACGAGAATACCCTCTCAAGCTTCCCCAAATATCGCAATAACCAGGAAATTATTTCCTGTTCATATAAAGCTCGAAGTGGACTGTTTGACCCGGTACGGTAAACACGTTTTCGCGGCCTGTTGGCGCATTTTTTTTGGGGGGGGGGGGGCAGCATACATAATTTAACCTATCACGTCGCACACCCTTAACATGAATATTTGTCACATTGTGTGGATGGAGGACACTTATAGGTTTTCGAAGTGTCTTCCTTTCAATTAAACTTATCCCAACCAACAAAAAATATTTGATGAAAATGGACATGGGTTTGAACCACAGATCTTGCGATCCATATACATGTAGTTCATTCCACTATCCACAAGGCCATGGTTGACGATATGTGCTGCAGATAAAAAAAAAAAACACCGTTAAGGCCAAAAAAAAAAATATTCGGTCTCTGGTCAGACCAAAGTTCCGGAATTGACGCGGCCACGCGGCTTTTTTCTTTTCTTCAAGCTTGGATTGTACAGACAAGGTGGGTACTATTTTGCTTTTTTTGTGTCCCCGTGTACATTGGTGTCCTCCATAATTTGCCTTGGTGCTTTCGATCATTTGCCTTGGTGCAATTTCCCATTCCTTGGTGATCTTTGGTAAAAAAAATTGAGGTGCGGAAATAGAGGGTGCTGTTGGAGCTACCGCGGAACTTTTTGGGGAAAAAAAGATCGACGCGCATGATTAAAATCGACGCGCGCGCTGACCAGAGACCGACATATTTTTTTGTTTGGCCTAACCGTCAATCACAGTCGGGCTGCCACTTTCCAACTACGACCACAAGAGGTCGCCGTTTACAAGATTAAAAGGAGAATAAGTATATACCTTTAAGTTGAGCCTGGTTTAGTTTCAAAAGGTATCACGTAAAGGACCAATTTTCAAAATGCGTAACGGATGATCTCACTGCAACATTTCTTTGTTTCCCCGACTCATCCTCCCCTTTTTTGTCAATTCCCACTTCACCATCTTCGTTGCAAACTAACATTATTTTATTACATAATTCAGTTAAATGGCATTAACATATTTTAACATTTGCATATTTTATTTCTGTCATGGTCATGTACAGTCCGTAGACATTGGACCCATAACAGTTTTGGAGGTTTCTCATTTGCCACTCTCGGCAGGAACAAAGTTTTGATAATGATACTGTAACCCTTTACATGTAATCCAATATGTTGCCAAGCAGTACACCACAATTTCACAATAAATAAAACAAATGTGTAAAGTTTCCCTTTGTTCTGAAGCATTTTCATTCTTAAATCAACAAGAATACTGGACAACTTGTTTCATTCAATACATTGTACAAAATGACACAACTTAATAATACAATGTGCTAAGCACAATTGCTTTTAAGCCTTACCTCAATTACTGGAATTGTTTTACATATTTACATATTTTGAAAACAAAAACTAACAAACAAACACAAACAGAAGGTAGTATTATGACCCTTTTCACCCGCAACTTTGATTCCCAATGCACTTTCATCAGCCACTCCAAGCTGAAACCAACTTGTGATTGGAGTGGGATGGTACAAAAGCAAATGTTGCTTGTACAGGATGACCCCAAAAAATGCAACCTAAAACATTTACGTTTAAAAAAAAAAAAAGGATCGGTGGATTTTTACGGTTTGGGTATCAGATTTAAGCTGAGAGCTTTTTCTTTCAAATACTGCAAAAATCATGAAAATAGCACTTTGGGTTGCTGAGAAAAGGCCAATTATGCAAAAGTACAAATGTTTTAGGGTTGCATTTTTTGGAGGGTCACCCTGTGCTGTACGTTGAGGTGCTGGGAGGATGTACCTGTAGTCTTTATAATAAAGTGTTGACTGACCTACACGTAGTCTCATGTACAGTATTTTTATACATGTATGTAATGGCATCTTGGCTTGCTAGTGTTAAGTCTGGGCAAAACCAGCGGAACTTTTTGTCGTTGTGAATTTTGGGTAACAAGGGTTAAAGAGAAACTGCAATTGACAGAGTTGTAACGAGTCACTGATTTTTGTGACTCGAGTCGAGTCGAGTCATTTTAAAGAAGTGACTCGAGTCGAGTCGAGTCATTAGGTCCAAAGGTCGAGTCGAGTCGAGTCGAGTCAAATATTTAGCTCGAGTCAATTCGAGTCACGAATATTTGAATACTATATACCAACATTTATAAAAGGAGGCCATAAGTTTAGCCAGCGTTCGAATCCAGGAGCTTTATAAGAAATCGCCTAAAGCCAATGAAACAGCGAATTAGAAAATGCGTTTAAAAATCTGATTCCTGGATAGTATTTTGTGCGTTCTAGAACCATGAGGTGGGAGTCTGTGACACGTTGTATATTTATACATGACTGCTATTCGCAAAGCGAAGTGAGCATAAATTTTGCACCGTACGTCATTGCAAATACTTTTCGCAAAGTTGTGCTTTTATTTTTGGGACTCGAGTCTTATTAGCCTTCGCTCGAGTCGCGTTGAGTCTTTTGATGAGGGACTCAAGTCGAGTCGAGTCATTTGCTCGCAGTTACTCGAGTCGAGCCGAGTCATTTACCCTTAGGGACTCGAGTCGAGTCGAGTCACCAAAAAATTGTGACTCGGACTCGAGTCAAGTCATTGACTCGAGTCATTACAACTCTGGCAACTGAACTCTTGTTCACCAAGCCAAACTTTAGTAACCCTAACCACCCCAACCCTTCAAAATCCAACTGCACATTTTGTTTGATACTGCTGAGGACTGCACACTGACTATGCTTTACATGGGGTCAGGCATACATGTACCACCATTATCAGAGTCCAACAGTTTGGGTGTTGAGTTTACCATGTGGTGTTGGATTTTGCAAGAGTGAGGAAGGATCCTAGTAGATCACTCAAGGGGTTAGGGTTAACAAAACTTTCCCAAACTAATAGGATCTTGAACAGTAGAAAACAGGTTAAACCATTGGGTTCCTTTCTTCAAATCGCATAAGGAACTGCAAGTGGACAAAAGAAAAAATAAAGAAAAACAAAATTACTAAAAAAAATACCAAGGTGAAAGTTTTTGGGAAAATCTTGACATTATACTTTCACATGTACATTTGCTACTTAATACCATTAATCTGCTTAGCTGTTACTACTCTTGAGTAACAGACTACTCTTGAGTATAAACAGACAACTCTTGAGTAACATACTACTCTTGAGTAGCAGACAACTCTTGAGTAACTGTAACATACTACTCTTGAGTAAAAGACTACTCTTGAGTATAAACAGACAACTCCCGAGTAACATACATGTACTACTCGTGAGAAACAGACTACTCTTGAGTATAAACAGACAACTCTTGAGTATCATACTACTCTTGAGTAACAGACTACTCTTGAGTAACATATTCCATGTACATTTACTACATGTACTAGGTTCTCATGCACTTATCGCTGACCGTAAGCACCGTCGATATCAGAAACTTTAATAATCAATATATCGGAAATCCAATATCGAGAATATACAATATATTGATTATCCCATGTAAAAGTTAAAGGCCATAAAGATGACACTTGATGAAAAAAAAAATGACACTTTTATTTTCTGTCACAAGCACAAGTTGCCTCCGACTTTTATTTCTTTATACAGCAAACGTTAAACATAAAGTAAGAGCACAAACAGATTTATTTTGACGATAGTCTGACCCATTCTCAATGTTTTCAATATCCTACATGTATCTCAATATCGAAATTTTCGATATTTTGATATGATTAAGAAAAAAAATTTAAATTAAAGTCGCGTCAGTGCAACAAGATCTTAACTCGATTCTGCAATAAAGTCGTATATATACGACTGAAGCATATTTGCACGATACATCGCGCAAATACGCTCTGTGCAACAAGGTCGTATCTCGCATATCACGACGTCTATTAACTTTGTGAGTACATCCGGGTTATTTTAAGCGTGATACGACCTTTTGACATTGAAAACTCGCATTTCACGTACATGACCTCACACGCCATTTTATAAGATATGACCTTGTAGCAAGATCACGACGATATATACATAAAATGCATAAAATCTTGATAAAGCGCGTGCTACAGCGTACGAGTAAAGTGTTTGTATGGCTGTGGAATAATCAGTACTTACCCCATTAATGCCAGGTAGTGATAAAATGGTGCTAATGACAGGGACTCTCCGCAAGAAATTGACAACAACTGGGAAAAAACCTCTGTGGAAGATACCACAAATCGAAAAGTATATGTAATAAAATTAATGATAATGCATTTTTATAAAGGCCCCCACATCGTTGTTCAAGACGCTACCAATTTTATTAGCCCTGCTCATTGGGTACATAAAATATTTTAGGACCAATTTTTAGGACCAAGGACCAATTATTTTTCCACAGTACACTGGGGATCATACATGTTGCATCTCAACAGGGTGCAAGTCATAATGTATTATTTATTCAAATAGCTTTTTGCTGGTTTGAATATTCGAAAACAAAAAACACAATGCACATAGTATACACACACGACTATGATGTTATTTTATCATATTATTAGTTCCAGTGCTTTACTGTCAGGTGCAATTTGTTTGTCGATGGTAAAGTTTTTGTTGATGGTGGTTTATTGTTCACATCCCTTTTAACTGGCACACTCTTCGTGCAACTTTTTCTCGGCACAGCACGCAGTTGCAGAGCTGGCAGTTTCGAATATCCAAATTTCGGTCAAACGCAGTTTGGAGTAATCAAATAATAAATTATGCAAAAAAAGACCGCCCTAAATTTTTTGGGAAGGGAGGGCTTTCAACAGAAACCCTGCTTTGACTTGAAAAAAGGTAGATCAGGGGAGTCAGGTTGGCGTAGTGGTACTTTCCTTTCCTTCCACCGCTGTGATCCGGGTTCGAATCCGCCTGGGTCAATATGTGGATATGGTTTTCAGTCCCTACCTGATTCCGTGGGTTTTCCCCAGAATACCTTCTGGGCTTTTCCTCCCACCTCTAAAACTGTAATTGCTTCTCATTGTCTTCTCTCTCTAAGTTGGTGTGATGTTTACCCTGGGATGCTTTACCGACAATACAGATACAGATGCATTTCACAGTTTCTCAAAACGTATATCTACTGAGCTGCAATTTTTGACACGTTAGTTTTTCAATAACCTGCTTCAGATTTATTGTATTGATCCTTGAACTGACAAGAATACATTTTTTTAACAAATTGCGTCCGTTACCTTCATCATAAGGCTGAGTAAAAAAAAGTAAAAAAAATCTCGTCTGAGCTTTTTCAAAAAAGGAAGGATGCAGGCACTTTTTGTTTTCCTTTTTTTCCCACAAGATGGTGGATTTTCTAAGATGGCGGACAGATGCTTCAATTTTCTCGACTCTTGCTGCTATGCTTTGTTGGTCATAGGGCAAAGTGTGTTTAGGTAGAGGGTATAGATGCTCCTGAAGACCTGAATCAACCCCAACCACTTGTTTAAATTAACACAGTAAACGAACTGATCATGACACTTTTTCTCAAATTCTCCGGTTAGGGACTGACATAGCTCACCTGAATAATAAGAAAAATCCATACATTTCAACAAGCATTCCGACTAGTGGCCATCCTATCAGTACGATGACCATACCCCCGATGAAGAAACCTGTCGCTTTGAGTTTGTGCTGCTGGAAGAAGAATCGGAAAGTACGCTCCAAACCGATGACGCATGCCAGGCCAACTAGGAACAGGATCTGATGAAAAACAAAGTTATAAATAGGCTATATGTGACCTGCCATATCATAATGAGGAATAACCCCCACCTTCAACTTTTCAAGTTACATCATGTTAACACACAAATCATTGGCTTTCCAATGATACCAAATATATTTTTTTTAGCTTAACACCTAACTCCCTGTCTTTTACTAAGTACTGGACCAACCATGTCCGCCAAAACAAGGGCGGATCCAGAACACAATTTTGGCAGGGGCCAAAAAAAAATGTTGGTCCCCCCAAAAAGTGGGTTGAAAAAAAAAAAAAATTTTTTTTTGATTCTAGATGCTCTGTGGTGCGATCTGAGGCGATTTCTGACCACTTTAACCAATGTTTTTTGAGGAAAAGATGGTGGTGTACTCATTGCCTGCCTTTATTGCGATGTCACATAAAAAAAAAAAAATGGTTTCGTTTTTTTGGGGGGGGGGGGGGGCCATGGCCCCCTTTGGCCTCCCCCTGGATCCGCCCTTGCGCCAAAATCCATCAATCACACTGCTTCCAATGCATGCTTTGCTTTATAGGCCTCCAGGCCCAAGTCCATCATACTCCAACAATATTTAGTCACACCAGGGCTTCAGGACCAAGTCCCCCAAAATCCACCAAAACGAGGGGATGGATTTTGATGGAGTTGGGGAGGTTAGGGTTAATTTAATCCAATTATGATATGCTGCAGGAACTTCAACAGTGTCCTGCTGAACTTCGCCGACCTCACTTCAAGAAGAACGGCTGTGAAAAACAAGATACGCATTGCCCCGCCAACGACAGTGAAAATTTTTTTAAAGTTTTTTTTTTCTTCACTTTTGGGGGTATATTTCCCCCCAACAAAACTGCGTAGTGTGAATCTTGGATACCTTGGCTACTCTAAAAAAAAATACCCACATAGATTTTTCACGTATCCAACTTAAAGTGCCAATTACTCAAAACAAGGTTTTAAAAGACATTCCTCATTTTGCCACAGCAGGTCACATGTATTTCTGAGTGAATGAGGGTGCTGTAACAACGCCAGTTTCTGGGTTCAAAAATGAGAAAAATCTGAAAATTTTTGCGAGTACTTTTCTTTTGAAAACAAACTTGGAAATGGTTCTCGCTCCTCAATTCATGTATTTTCAAAGCGTTTGCGATGACTGACCATCACTGATAGTTCGGGATACTGAATTGTACCTGGCTGTTTCTGCTGGAACTTGATAAAGACCAACCTTTTAGAAAGAAACTGAAATATTTTTATTAACATTGCATTTACCGAGAATAGTATTCTAGACTTTGGAATGATCAGACTGGCTGTAGTTACCAGTGCAAGCACGCAATGTGTACGCCAGTTGCCCTCATAAATAGGCTATATTTTCAAAATCCTGTTATATTTATACAAGTCAATCCACGGTCTCACTCCCATATACCTCTCAAACAGCATTTCATTCTACAAACCCTCACGACCCGGATTACGCTCTGCCACAGACACAACCCGGCTCGTGCTGCCTAGGGGCCAAAGGATGGTTGCGGAGAGGTCATTCTCTATCTGTGCCCCTAGATTGTGGAATGATCTCCTATCAACCATCAGACTGGCTCCTATCCCACAAGCATTCAAAAGCCTCCTCAAAACACACCTGTTTGTCTGATCTGTTATGTGATTACTCTTTCAATGTATCTGTTTATTTTTCTTTGTTTTTGTTTGTAAAGCGCATTGATCATTAATATGGAACTGCGCTATATAAGCACCGGTATTATTATTATTAATATTATTATTATTATATTATACAACGCCTGAACAAATTCCTTTCATCTGATTGCTGGGTTGTTGATCACGTCATTGAATTATCCATCCCAACCTATGGCCCAGCCGCACTGCAAAAAATAGTTCCATTCCATGTTATAGAAGTTCCAATGCTCAGTCACATAATTACCAATCAGATGACGAGGGTTTATTTGGGTGTTGTATACATGTGCATGGAATGTTTCATTCCACACAGCTTCGCCTCGTGAAATAGAACATTCTATCCATCACCTTATGAAATTATGGAAAAAATGTTGCAACCTCACGCCACTTCCGTGATTGTGTACAAAGTCTATGGAGAGTCAAGAAAATTATTCTTAGCAGTATTTCCTAACAAAATTGGAAATGTTTCTCAGTCCCAGATTCATGTCTTATCATCATTTTCGCAATGAATGACCTTCATTGAGATGATATATGAAGAAAAAAGTGCCGTCAGGTTGCAACATTTTCTCCAAAATTATTCTTACCATTGCAGTCACACACTTTAAACATTAAATGTTTGTATACCATGTGCAGGACCATCTACGGGTACAGTTTTTGCTGTCTGGGAAGAAAAGCTTAAATGGTAATCATTTACTCCATCAACCAAAGACTAGATACAAACAAAAGTAAATATAAAAGAATGGTCACACACACTTACATTTCCAATTGCCAGAAGACCTTTATCGAATAGGAATATGATTCCCAGGAATAAAAAGAAGGCACCGAAGCCAGTCAGGCCTATGCCAATCTCTGCAAAAGTAAATAGTTTTTTAATTATTTAGCATACAATTATTTGAACTTGGATTTGATCAAATATTTGACTATTTGTTATGTTCGCAATGTCGAAAATAAAAAAACGACGTTGGTGAGTAAAATCTGTGATTTCTTGAAAAAGTACCGGTCTGAGGTCCTTAAAACCACTGACATTGTTCTGAATTTGTTCTCAAATTTTAATGAGCTTTAGATCAGCCAGGGCTACTGTTTTGAGAGATCATTGCATGAGAATGTGAATTTCTAAGTGTAAGTAGTTTGACTATCAACACTAAATTTCAAATCCTATTGAGCATGTTGAGTAATACGAAACCCAAAACATAATCGGCTAGTCAGCACACGGGTGTCTTTTCTAGTTCTACAAGAAGTGTCATATACCGGTCCTACTAAAGTGCGTCAACAAGCGTCAACAAGCGTCAACAAGCCTCGACGGTCGTCAATGAGCGTCAACAAATTTTGCATAGGCTTTTGAACAATAAAAACAGCTTTACATGGTAGAAAAAGCAATAATGAACATCTTCTGCATATCAATTGAAGTTAAAATTACTTAAAAAGTGGTTTTACAGCGCGAAATCTACGACAGGTTTTTCGGTTTAGTATTGGCCGCCATCTTGTTTGAGATCTACGTACTACGCATGCGTGGAGTGTACCATTCACGCATAGGGGTTTCTTTACAGGAAATTAGGAAAACTATTTTTTTTTCAATTATAAATTATGTAAAACTACTTGGTCACGGTACTTGGCTAATTATTTGAAAAATATGCCGACTGACACTCTTTACAATGTCTGCCAAAAAATCCCAATGCAAAAACCAAACGAGGTGTCGCAAAGCGTATCGTATACAGAAACCCCTATGCGTGAATGGTACACTCCACGCATGCGTAGTAACTAGTATGTAGATCTCAAACAAGATGGCGGCCAATACTAAATCGAAAACCCGTGTAGTGAGTAAGAAGCTTGCACATTTGATTCACACTGGTTTTATTATGCAGCACAAACTTTTGCACAATATGGATACCTTAAGTTTTGGGACTCTCATACACAGTATTGAGAGTCCCAAATTTTCGGACTAAAAGTAATACTGAACTAGCGCTAGCCTACAGTAACACAGTCAATCAAACGAGAACGTGAAATGGTGAATCATTTTTGTGTGTAGCGATCACAAAACAGTTGGAATACCCACTGTACCGACTGGAAAATGAAAAGGTTAAAAAACTACAGTTTTAGCTCAAAAATAATGTAAATACCTACTCTGAAAATCGGAAACTTCAAACATTTCGGCAAAATATTTGATAAACCAAAACCAAGCGTATGTCGTCTGCACATTGCATATTGACGTGTCCGCAGCCTCGTTCACTAATTCTTGCGCATTTGTTAATGATTTTCCCTCTCATAAATGCATGACTCTCAAAAAAATTCAATGAAAAAATTCAAGTTATAAGTTTAATGAATAAACATCACGATGAAGATGGTGCAATTTTATATAATTATTTACTCCGATGTTCTTAATGAATGCAATCGTCATGCGTCCTGATTTTTGTTAGACTAGTTCCAAGTCCTTCTAGTTCTATCATTGTGCCGACGCGCATGGCTACGGCGACGCGCGCGCATACCAGAAACCGGAGACTTTTTTTTTTTTGGCCTAAGACGTCATTGTGACCAATAAAACGGTGTGTTTTAAAGCATTCGTTGAATTTTCTCTAAATGATTTAGAGATATCTTTAAATGATTTAAAGATATCTCTAAATGAATTAGAGATATCTCTAAATAATTTTATAGATATCTTTATATCATTGACAATAAAGCTCTTTTGTGTGTCACTTATTTATCAAAATAATTTGTCTTTTAAACGATTGGGAGAAATCTTTATGTATTAAGAGATATCTCTAAATGATTTAGAGATATCTCTAAATATTTAGAGATATCTCTAAATTTAGAGATATCTCTAAATCATTTAGAGATATCTTTAAATTGTTTTAAGACTTTGCTATTGCTATATAAATGTTACTTTGGCTCGCCATACCGTGGTGGTGCCGCCGCTGTTCGGATCGAGTCGGCGATCTCGGTTTCGATCCTCAGAGCCGAACCTGTAGCTGTACCGACATCGACACCCACCCGAGAGCTGCAACCTACGATAAGGTTCAGTTTGGAGTCTTCTACCCGCTCCCGTTCATCGTGATCGTTGTGTCGTTCGTCCTGATTTGGCGATACATCAAGAAGCACTTCAAGAAGCGCCGGCAGAAGTTGAGCGGGTCTGCGCAGACGTCAACGGTCATGCCTTCAGCACCACTTTCGTACTTGTGTCTATGTTGGACCTAGATGACACCATCCGAAGAGGCACTCGCCGATGTCAGCTTGGATCGCCTCGACGCAACAAGACCGACCAGCTGGCGAAGAACCTCTTCGTCGTAGTGTTCGCTTTCATAGTGTGCTTCACTCCCTATGGTGGTTAGTAAGAGCAACCGTTTCCAGCTGTATGGCGGATTGATGCTCTTCCTGAACGGCTGCATTATAACCCTCTCATATATGCCGCCAAGCATCCACACTTCGGCCCTGTGTTGAGAGCCTTGGTGCGCTGTTGATGTTCGTCAGAATGCATGACAGATGAGGTAGGTATAGGTCTCGTTCAAATTACGTCATGAGCGTCAACTGGCATAACGCGCACTGGCTGCGTCGTATTTCGAACATATTTCGATCAACAAGCGCGCGTGTATGGAACATTTTCAACACTGCGCAACGGTGCTTGAATGCGTAAAATACGCAGTTGCAGTTCTCCTACAGGAATGGCCGTCATTGAACGCACCCTATTTCTCAAGTGGTTTCGTAGACACCCCCACTAACGTAACTATAATGTGATCTACTAATGGTGAATCTTTCGCGCTGTTATATTCTGTCCCTCTCTTCGTCCTATCCAAAGTCGCATTAAATTTAATTTGTTCCAGGGATAAAGCAGGTATTTCCCATGCAGAGTATCCCACTTGATCGTTAATATGTGATTTTAGACTGACATTTTTAAATTGTGCCCTTGAAGTTTTTACCTCGCACATCACATTATATTAAAGCTACGTACAGTCCATCATTTGTAATTTGTGCATTTTGTTCGTTTGAAGCAACGAGTTCAAAATCTAATGAAGGATACTGAGCAACTAAACCTGATGAAGTTTCAGCTAAGCTTCAGCTGTACATTCCGAGAAAAACAACATTCTTAGATCTCAATTTCAAATCAAAAGTTACTGAATCATGTTTTGAATTGTTTTGAATTGCAGCTATACGCGACGTCGCGCACTGATCCGACGAATTACAACAACCGCGCGCGCGTGTGCGTCGTTCCAATACGTGTGCGCGCTGCGCTGAATAACAAAACGAACTACTAATTTAAATTTTTTTTACGGTGCTTCTTAAGAATCACCGTTGGAAATGCCTTCTTTCGTTGATTACTTCAAAATGACAGCTTCCCAGAAAGAATAACTTCACAGGGAGTTTAGTTCCCTTACTATCTTTCAACCAAGTTTGTTTTTCAACAATAATTACGCCAGTTACTTTTCGGATGGCTGCAACTGATGGACTCTAGCTTTAACTTAAGTAAACCAAAACAGTACGCAAATAGATTTGAGGTATATTTTTGGCAGCCTTTAATAAAAACATCTATAAAACACCCATCCGCGTGTTATGTGCAGTACAATTATCATTAAAGCTGATTTAAAGCTGATTTTTAGTTATTAGCTTTTCAACAAGTCCGCAGCAGATCGACTATACGGTCTAGAAAATTAATAGCCACAGCGTGTGCACAAAAGAGGAAGCTAGCTACGTAACTATAGGAGTGGACACATAATGTTGATGGTTCACACACATCCCTATATGATTTGTTTTCGTTTAGCTGAAAGAACACTTACCTTTGTGTGATTTGTGGACAGAACTTTAAAGCGGTAGTTGTGATTAAAATTCCGGAACTTGAAAAGTACATGAGTGATTTGAATGATTCTTGTACTATAAAAGAAAACTTATGAATTGGGCTTTACATCACAGATTTTGAAAGTGCTACATGCAGAACTTCACTCAAACAATGGTCCCGACATTTGGGTTTCTTTTTTTTTTACTCACCCTTTATAGGCCTGGGCAAGTTCCATGCGAACGGCAGATTGTGAGGTTTTTTATTTCAATCATAATACAAATTCTGAATCATTCTAGGCTTGGTGGGTTGTTTGTTTGTTTCTTTTGTTTGTTTTATTGCAATTTTCACAAACGATACTCGTGTAGGCAAGTGGTATTTCACAGTTTTCGTGCGTCACCATGGAGCATCTGTAGGGTTATCGCAGTACTCTTCAAAAGAGCGTAAAATAAACCGATAACCTGGGGCCAAAATCTGTCAGGAGGCAAAGTTCTATTTGCAGCGATAACCGCATTGAAATGACAAAGATGACACGGAAAGTCATTGGAATGCAACGTTTGCATCCCCTCCGGACATACATTATTCATACCAGTAGTTCAGGGCCATTAAAAAAAACCAATAGGATATAAAAAAAAAAAGCTTAAACCTCTTTTTACATCTGTAAAAAAAAAATGGTAATTCAAAGTGCGCGGAACAAGCTATGTACTTCTCATATTACAAAGGTCAGCGAGAAGTGTGAATGAAACAAAATCCAGACGCCTTGATGAAGTAGTTGATTCTGTGTCATCACCGGATGACTTGTAATGACACGTGCAGCTGCAATGGACCGATCCAGTAAGCACCGCCCCATGGTGTTCTGACCAATCACAGCCGTGATTTATGTCCGACGTGCGTGCACTAAAGTTCGTCACGCGTGCACGCGCGTATAATGCGCGCGGAAGGAAAATGCAGCGTGGCATTGGAGAGGAGCACGTGTTAATTTGCCCACGTGCGCACTGGGCGGAGCTTACTGGATCGATCCATTGGCTGAGTGGCGTACGTAATGTCGTTTGATAAATACATGTACATGTAAATCAACCTTCATATATAACGTGCGCCAATAATAGCAACAGTATGCACTCTTAAAGTTGACAGATGATCCATTCATTGTATAGACTGATTGTCTAGTGCGATTGTTCTAGGTTGAAGCCAACGAAACAGAGTTTGTAAGAAGTCAAACGTTGCTGTATAAAGCATCGATACTTAATTATCATCTTCACTGCTATAACTGCCGCATCACAAACAGTTGAACAACCTCTATATGTTTTAGTAGGCTCAGTTCCTGATTATTCAAGGTACCGTTTATTCTTACCATCGATCAAAATGCTCGGAAATCATAACTTGATAGAGAGTGCAACTGTCTTGTTTTCTTCTGATGTTTTGATTACTGGCAGATTTAATGAGAACCTCCTGATGTCCAGGTTATCGTCCCATGCAACTGTTGGCTTGGTATTTGGTCATTCTCCTTTCCTGGTACAGAATTAACAACCAAAATCAACCCCTCTTTTCAGACACAACCCGAGCATAGAGCTTAGGTTTGTTGCCGTACCAAGATTTAAACTCTCTCATCTCTATTGCGTGCGGCGTGTGTATGTCATAAAACCTTTCAGGCATGAAATTGTAAAATCCTGGTATTAACTTATGAAGAGGACCTGGCATTTATAATGTAAGTAGCCTCGTGTCTTTTGGCTATTAAACATAACAGTGAAAGTTTAGGTTCAGATATCTTCAGCTGTTTGATACTGCGAGTTTACTCATCGACAGCAATAAAATAACTATACGCAAAAACAGATGCAGCTCGAGATGATTTTAGTATACTAATTGGAAGTGACAGGTTGTGGGCATGAAATGTGCACAAATTGACCAGGGTAAATAAAACGTTTGCACGTATGTTGCCTTCCGACTAATGGGCAGCTTCCGTGGGGAAGCCGCTTGTGAGATCTTTCAAATAAACTCCGTTTGGAGTTAAAAGTTGCCAGACTGGATCGATCGGCTTGACTGCGTGGATGCTTGCTATGCTGAGATCCAGCTATCTAGTAAGATGCTGTTTATCAGTTCGTTCGTGATCTTTGCTGTGATTTTTCTTATCGCTTTCCAGCGCACATTCTCGGTAAGTGACTGATGATTCTATTCAATAATAAAATACATCTCGATATTTTGAAATAATGAAGTGTTTTTCATGTCCATGAGCTTTTAAAACCGATGATGACACGAACCCTTATAAGAGTGTGTAATCGCACCAGTGAACGTGGGATCATACCCAGGCTAGTACATTTTTTGTACTTACGTTACATCGAACCGATCCTGGAGCGAATTTAGTTTTTGATGGAAGTAAAAAAAAATACACTTTGGTCCCAAGGCCAAGTAAAAAAACCCACCAGTTGATTGTCCGAGTTTTATTTAAAAAGGAGGATGAAACTATGAGGGCCTTTTTATTTATTATTTTATTGAAAAAAAGGGTTAAAATAGCCATATTTAGCTTACACGATATGTGCCTTATAAAAAGGAGAAGGCCCTATTTATTTGATAGTTCTGGGTAGTTGTCTACTGGTTGATGACCTCAAAGTGCTTATTGAACATTAGTAAATCTATAAGAAGCATGTCTGAGCTTCTGAAACATCTTTTAAAAAAAATGTTATGCTTGAAATTAAAAAAAAATGATGCAGCCTCAAAAAAAGGAATAAGCGTACGGAGACAAGCAACTGGTATTTCTCTTACTTGGCCTAGTAAGCGCAGTGGACGGAAACCTCACCCCAAAAAGATCTTACTCTTATTGTCTGTCTGTTGTTTGTTTGCTTGTTGGGGTGTTGGGGCGTTGTTGTTGTTGTTGTTGTTGTTGTTGTTGTTGTTTTTTTAAAGATGTGCGACATACGAGGGACGCACTTGAGCTAAATGGGTCCGAAGAAAGCTAGGGTGCCTCAAATGTCCTTCATCTCTCTGTACATGTACCGCAGTGATTCGACATTTTCTACCTCCATGGTTTGACCTTAACCATCGTGACGGTCTTCTGGAGTTTATATATACGGGTTTTGTTTGGTGCAAAATCATCCATATCAAAGCTTGCGTTGTTTCCAGTTATGTTGTGTTGGTATACTGATCCTTCAATCAAATCATATATATTTTTTTCATTATTCCAGGTTTCCAAGTCTCCTGGAAAAGAAAATATTCCTGGAGCTAGACCCTCAAACTCGAGGTACCGATAAAAATTACTGATACCTCAGGCAGAAAGGGATGCAGTCGAATAACACTTTTAGAGCGAATCGAATCCTCACCTTGTATATATATGTCTTATTGTAATGAAGAATAAAAACATAGTTTTCTATTTTTAGCTTCTTCTTTATTTTAAATTACTTTTTCGCACGAACAGATCCGCCCTGCGAGTAGAATGGCTACTGGTTACCACATTATCGATTCTTATAGGTGGCGCCACCAATTTTCCTCCGAGAAAACTTACTTATTGTCGGGCCGCAAAAAGTTCGACATCTATAAAGTAATTATTTCGTAACTCTACGTGAGCCGACGTTTATTTCCTTTCATTGTCTCATTCAAAGTGACTTTTGTATTGCTAGAAAAAAAAAACACAGTTAATTTTTTTTTCGGGGTGAAGTTCGAAAAGCACCCACTGTCAGAACATCATTTAAGTATTTTAGAAACTGTTGGTACTTATATATGCGCCGTATGCGGTACTCTTGCAGGGATGGAAACAAGCCTGACATTGCAGCCGCTGGTAACATTCATAATTACCTTCTTGATCTGCATGGGAAATGTGGACCTCTAGCCTCGTTTTGGTACGGCCCCAAGTACGTTGTCAGCATTGCCTCTCCAGAGCTATTCATGGAACATCACGTGCGCATGGCATCGAACCGGCCCCGTAAGTCATGGATATATAGCCACGATAAAGATTGTGATGTGAAGTTCCCTCATTCCAAAAATCCAACGACTTGAGTCCAGTCTATATTCTGATGCAATGACTCGAGTTTAGTCGAATCATCTTATGGGCAATGACTCGAGTCAAATTGAGTCATTCTGAGACAGTGACTCGAATCAAATCGAGTCATCTGAAGGCAGTGACTCAGTCGAATTATCCAAACCGAGCCTTTTGCTCGAGTCGAGTCTTTTGCTAGCATGAATCGAATCGTGTCTATCATTTCCGCAGAGTGGGTCGAATCCAGTAATGACTCGATTCGGGTCACCACAAATTGCGACTTGAGTCGGACTCGAGCCTCTCGGGTCATTTCAACTCTTGAAAGCTCCGTTGTCGGATTTTGTGAAAACTTTTTGTGTGGTTGCTTTATGGGCAAAACAGTTTCGTGTGATCGTTCCTGTCATGAATAGATAATGACTTAAAAGTTTGAGTTATGGTGGTTTAAATTTGTTGTAATTTTTCAGCTGACATGATGGAGATGTTAGAAATTCTGTTTGGGAGTAATGCCATCCAGTTTGCAAAGACCGATGATGCAATCAGAAGACGAGAACTCTACGATCACACCCTGAGTCATGAGACGGTGACCCATTTTTACCCAAACTTCAATAAGGTAAGATGAACCTTAAACTAACGTTAAATTGAAATAACCAAACTATTATAACCAACAATGAACAAATTGTACTACCATCCCTTTCCAGAGTCGCGAACGTAGGTACCAAAGGTAGGGGGACGAATGATTTGTTTTGGACAATCAGAAGTATCCTCACAAACTTTCCATCCGCACAAGTTTATTGTTCGCACTTGGTATTTTAGTTATTTTGTAAATATTTGGGTTGAGTTCCGTTAGCCAATAGGCATCCCCATCCTAGATACTCAAACGGAGAAATGTTACACCTGTACATAAACGGGTTTTCTATTCACCTTGAATAGGTGGCTCGTGAAACTGTGCAGGCGTTGTCCGCCATTCCCGAGGGTACCCGCATCCCGCTAGTCCATCATTGCATTGACATGAGCATCAAGGGGATTGTTCGCACCTGCTTCGGGAACTATTTCGAAACCGAAGAAGACGTAGACCACCTCCGTGAAGTCTGTTCCGCGGTAAAGTACTCTTAAATAGTCACAGGTCCAATTCGATCCGGAATCCGGGACAGATTTTTGGATTGACACTCTTTTGGGTCAAAATGAGAGTTTTTCCTTTACAAATTGGACGCCAACTGTTGAGTTATAATAATTGTGGTGCTTTATAAAAGAGACCTTTGTTTTTTCTATAATCACACTATTAAAGGGAATGTACATCATTGGCTTATGCTTTAATTTTCAGAAATGAACTATTTGAGGGGTTAGTATAATAGATCAAATTATTGTTACACTGACATGTTTGAAGTTTTGTTTTCGAAAATGCTGGAAAAACCAAGAAAAACAAAAATGTTCAAGTAGTCTGGTTCCCTGACTCCACTGAAGATGAAATGGATCAATTTACAGATGCCGGAAAATTGTACGCTAAGGGAACCAGTCTAGCTGACCTGCACCCATTCATGAACATAAAACCAATTAGCAAACAAAATTGGACTGAAAAAAATGGTAAATTTGGAGCAGTAGTGAAAAATAGTTAGGTTTTTCCTACGGTGGTCGGCCGACCACCGTTGGAAATGTAAACAAAAATATAATTTTCTTGAAAATGACTTCACACCAGGTGCCATAATTTTACAGGATGCTTTAGGCTGTCATTTACCAACATCCTGTAAGGTATTTCGTAAAAACTTGGTCATTTTATTTTTCGATGTTTGCAAATGTTGTATTTTCCCTTTAAACGTTTCTCTTTGTCAGTGCTGGAACGAACTGGAGTTATATATATCATGGTATATATCATGACAAAATGGATTTTGTAGAGAACACGACGTGATAAAGGAAGTTCAAAATGGGCACTCTGAATGACAAGTGCGAGCTTCATTATGTCGAGGTTTAACAGTTACTTTACCAGCCAGGTAATAAGGCGAGGTAGTATTTAATTGTGGTGAGTAACATAACTCGAATATTGTCATAAGTGGACAACATACGAAACCACTGACAACATAGGAATTTGTCTGAAAAAAACTTACTTAAAGATATTACTATACCTTAGTAAGTTCATTTTGGAAGTTCCTCAGAATAACGTTGCTTCCAAAACGCCAGCAAAATCGAGGCTGTTTTTTTTTTCTCTCTTAATATTTCATTTCCTTCAACAGACCTGGCATCTCTTAAAACCCTGGGTCAGAAAATGATCCAGCATCGTCGAGACAACCCCTGCTTTCTTGAGTACCAAACTTTCATTGATGCTCTCCTTGAGGACGAACTGCCTGAGGAGCAGATGCATGATGACTGCGTGGGCTATCTGATCGGTGGACTACAAACTGTAGGGATCTGTAAGTCCAATCAAATGTAGAATTTAGTCCCGAGGTGTTTGATTCTTAAATATGTTTCAGGTGTTCAAGTTCAAAGAATGTAAAGGAAACATGCAATAGGATAAGGAATATGATTTTATGACTTAAATACATTTAAAAAAGCTTTCTTGCCATGTAACTATGACTTTCCACCACCTTTGTAGCAGTAAAAGGGAGAAATTCTAACAGTTTTGTTTTTATGCTAATGAAAATTTCCATATTCAAGAACAAATGCGTGATGTCATTCAAGGCAGAACAGTAGTGTCTCCATAGCATTGTAATATAATATAATAATATTAAACTGTTCTTCATTTTTGGATTAGGTTCCACTTTTTACTTGCTTATCATGTTAAACAGCTTGTTTGGACAGTAGTAGTGGCCACTATTTCTTCAAAACTACGTTACAAATTATTAAATAATAACATTATTAAATAATAACAAATTATTAAATAATGTTAAGTAAAGTTAAACTCATAAGGAAAGGTACATTGGTGAAACATATGACGAACATTAACTTTTACAAATACGAGTATCTCAGAAATATTAAAGAAATTAAAGCTATTATACGCATTTTAAACATTCAAATATAAAGCTGATCACGGGATGGGTGAAAACCCCACAAAAACCTTTTGGGAGAAAAAAAAAACACGGGGAAATTCCCGATCCGGCTCCAAATAATTCCAACTTAAGTTAAATGATGCAATCCTAAATATTAATCGTTTAACTTGTTGATTGTTATGTTATCATTACCACACAGTGACGTCTTGGGCACTATACTTCTTGGCTATTTCCCCTGACTGTCAGGAGAAACTTTACCTGAATGTGATCGAGGCAGTTGGGCAAGGCGACGTTGAGGATATGAATCATGAAGATCTTCGGTAGGATAAACTTCTCAAGCTGAATGACAAATTGAGAGACTTTTTTTTTTTTTTTTTTTTAACTTCCCATGACTTTAAACACAGGTAGGCCGAACGTGCATATAAACTGGATGTACCAAATCGTGAATTAATGAGGATTCAGATGAATCGATTGATGACAAGTATATTTTTCATACCTTAGAATATACCAAATTACCGGAAATCAACAAGTGACACTATAAAAAAAGTGTAGGGATATATTTCCAACATTTGGTAATTTGCAGCGATTCATCTCAAGCGAAATCAAGGAATCATCATCCATCCATTTAGTTCAATTTGCAGTGGAATCACCGTTTGCGACGAATTTTTCGTTGTGGTCAAAGGGGGATTTCTCTTCCGGCTTTAAAGCACATCCCTCTTTTTGAAGAACAACAGCGTTGGCTGCTTCTTGTAATTAATTAGACGTCTACAAAAGTGTGAAAGACAGAACAACCGTCTTCAGTTTTCAAAAGAATTATGAACATTTCCTTCTTTATTCGACCGAGCAAGGTAATTAAATTGCCGTGGAATTTGATGACTTTCTTTGCTCTGTATTAGATACGTAGGTCAAGTGATCAAGGAGACCCTTCGTCTATCTGTGCTTTCTACGTACATCTCTCGCTACCACGATGACGATTTTGAGCTTGCAGGCCACGTCCTAAAGGCTGGGGTATGTAATACGTCTTTTAAAATTAATCTACAAAAGACATGCAAAGAAGCATTTTTTACACCCTTAGCCACTATGCCTGGAAGCGCCCGAGCACTAAAGTCAACTCTCGGTAATACGAGCTCGGCTAGGACGAGATCCGGTTAAGACGAGCATTTTCAGTCCCGACCAACAAAGTGTGCACATTCCTACAAGGAAGAAAATGCTCAATACGAGCTTTGGTTATACGAGATTTCTGTTAAGACGAGCGCTTTGTATTGTCCGTTTGATTGCAACTGTAGCGTTTTACTGATTCATCAGTGGGTAAACACAATGTAATACAATGTATTAAAGGTGCTTATGGGTTAAATGGCTACCTAGAAATGTCCATTGCTTGCCTTTAATGTAATAGACTAATGCGGCGAACACAAATTATAAGCCTTTTTGAGGTGGCGCCATGCACGTGTGCGTGCATGCCGCACATAAGTATACAGGTTCTTAAACACAAAGTGCGCGCGCATTTTGGTAATCCTATTGGCCGAAGGAGCCTGGACTGCGTGCGTGCTACCTGAGTGCGAACCTGGTGTCACCTCATAAAATAGCTGTCCCCGAATTAGTCTATACACGACTCATCCTCTTGCTAGCCTTGTATAACTTCTTAAGTGATGTTTTCTTTCTTTGTTAATATCATTTCCTGCCCTACAGACGACGACTGTTCATGCCATTGGAGTGGTCATGGAGGATCCAGTGCTTTGGCCGGACCCGAGCAAGTAAGCAAGTATACATGAATGTAATTTGTAGACCTCTCTGTACAACATTGTACTGATTCGTATGAATGTTGGGTGATACTGCCTTCTGGCCAGTAACTCAGGTAGAAAACATCAAATATAACATTTTTTACTAAAAATGATGCGTAATTTGTGCGAGCATGCACTCTTGGATCTACAATCCCGGCCAAAATGGTTGGGACACATTAGCCTTGAACCACGGTCACCCACTCCCCTGCTCCCCCGGTCAATGTTGTTCTCTCCAGCTGACGGAGCACACACCGCGCAATGAGAGACAACATTGACAGGGGTCGGGGGGTTGGGGGCCCAGCGAGATTTGGCCAGGATTGTAGGTACATTGTACAAAACGGATCTAGATCTTCTGTGATCCTCTTTAACTGAAATACCGTATCGTCTTTTTCATAAATTCACTTGAGAAGTTGATTTGCTTGCGACTTCAATGCAAAGTTTTGCAAGTAGAAGTTATCGTGTTTCGCATGGAATTGGCATAACTTCGATGCATTCATTCAACTTAATTTGATGAACATCCTCCTCGTCTACAGATTTGACCCCGAGTGATTCGACATTGACCGCATGACAGCCCGCCAGAAACACGCCTTCAAACCCTTCGGTTTCGCCGGGCATCGAGCCTGTCCCGGCCAGCATTTCGCCAAGCTGGAGGCCGCGGTGTTTCTTGCCGTTCTGTGCCGCGCGTTCAAGTTTCGCATGGTGAAGGGACAGAGCGTAAAGAAAAACTACGGTCTGATGACACGACCTGACGGCGAAGTTTGGGTCACTCTGGAAAAGAGAAAGTAGTCGGCACGAGGGAGAGTTAGCTGCTGGAAAAGCAACTGCGTTTTGCATGATCAGGATTCACTATTTAAACAACCATTGTTTTGAAGATTTGGGCAAAAATAGGTCTAAGGCATCTTCCCAGCTTGTTTCTAGAAATATAATTTTTCAGCGAGATATGTAAAAATGCAAGGGATTAACCTTACAGTTTTCATTAAATTTGGCCGAAAATTGACTTGTCTCCAAACAACTCAGAAATGCCTTTCGATGCAAGATGATCATGATTCAGTTTTTTTTTTGACACGTAGTGCCAACTTTAATATACTTCTGTTGAGATAGAAATTGGAGATCAATGAGCACGAGTCTGGACATCATCTGACACGTGGTGGCGCTGTTCGATGGGGATAAGGCACCGATGTTGTCATTTGTAGTTCTAACAATATTTGAACTGCTAAAAATGCAAAATATTCAGAAAGCATATAATATTCACAAGGCATGTGTTATTGTTTGTAAAGAAGCAAGATATACTGATACGTCTTGTTTATAAACACAAGAAGTTAACAAGCTAGGAGTATATGATGTGTGAGTCTTGTTTACATTAGCCAAATTCCAGAAGTAACATCACTTATTTAATTTGTTAGAATATAATAAATTTAATAATTTGACAGGTTTTAACAGTTTGTATACAAACACCAAATCCAACAGGTAGAACCTACGTGGTTATATATATGTGGACAGTTGTCAGTCTGAATGTTACAATAAGTTTAATAATTAAAGCTATACGTTTGATTGAACATGGTTCTAGCAAGTCAGCAAGAATGTTAAACCCCCCCCCCTCCCTTGCACACATTTATTTTTATGGGAATGAAAAGATTGATTTACGATGGAAACCCAGCCAGCCAACCCATCAAACTCAATGGTTAAGACGTCTGCACGCTTCTCTGCTCTCCTAAGGGTAGGAAGAACTGCTTCTTTGATTGCCTGGAATCTGTCTCCATCCTTGTACACCATCGATGCTGACGCGGGTGGTTTTAGACTCCAGCATCTGGAGGGCATACTGGTCCTGTTTGGAACGGGAGACTTCCTTGTCGGTGGTGCAGGGGAGAACATCTGCCTGCCATAACATCTGCACATGCAGCAGGATGTCGTTCGTCACTGGCATGGGAACGTGGAAGTCTTGAAAACTCGCTGCTCCAATTTGACCGTGAGTCCCAGTTGGTCTTCGGAGTGTCCAGCCAAGCCTCGTGCAGATGGCAACTGGTGCACCACGGGGTCCAGATCCTATGGGGCATCGGGAGATGATGAGATCTGTGGGAGTGGTCAGCTTCAAGGAGTAACATCGGTGATGCCTGGTTAATCACTGGTAGCGGCTGATGATGGTTATACCACTGCTGGAGAGCCTTTACTGGGTATGTGTACTCCGAGAGACACAGATTGCGGGCAAAGAAGGCTCCTGCGATGGTGTATTCAATGTGGGGCTTTCCCTTGGGTGACACCTGCAGAGACACAGTTGAACCTTGGCATTCAACTACGTCATCACGGACAGTTTTCAGTTGGACTGTCTCTGGCTGGCCTTTAAGCTTCAGCTTCTCGGCTGCTGTCTAGAACAGCACACTTCTCTCGGAGCCATCATCAAGGACAGCATAGGTCTCGGCTAAAAAGGCTAAAGAAGTTTTTATTGAGAGGAAATGCCAAGAAAAAGAAAACGAAAGACACAAACCCAACAAATCTTTAAGATAGCCAAAGAAATAACACCTCAAAGAGCACCAAGATGTGATGCAACTAACGATGACACCGGGTTGACACTCACCGAAGAAGAGGTCAAGAAGAGGTGGCTAGTACTGCCAGAAATTGTAAAGAAACTCTAGCCCCAGCACGGAGGTTTACCAACCAAAGTGCTGGAATCAAGAACCAGAACATCCACCCTTATACGAGCTGAAGTGCAGTGGAAAAGGCAATAAACTCCGAGGTAAATCGCCATGCAGGAATAAATGACATCCCTGTAGAAATGAATCTGGGACTGAAACACAGTGGCCTGAAACTGTTGCATTACTGTGGAAGGTCTGCATCAAAATATAGAAAACGGGCCTCTATAGACTAGCGCAGAGGCGGCAGAGCCATCTTCGTTCATATCCCCAAGAAGAGAAATCGGAAAGAATGTGACAACCATCAGACGGTCAGTTTGATTGTACACGCCAGCAAGATTTTGTTTAAATCATTATCAGCAGAATAAAGCTGAAATACCACTCCGAAATTCCAGAAGAGCAAGCTTTTTTTTTAGAAGGCATAGGCACTAGAGAACAAATTGCGAACTTGAATTTAAGAACATTATTGACAAATGTAAAAAGAATCCAGCGTGCCACTATTCATCTGTGATAGACTACTCTAAAAACCTTTGATTGTGTACATCATTTTGAAGCTGTGGATAACTATGGAAGAGATGGGATTCCCAGTTCACATAATCAAGCTCATCAGCAACTTGTACAGCAGTCAAGAATCTGCGGTGCGGACCAACTATGGCCGAACTGAGTGGTTCACGGTAGAACGATACATTATGTCACCCTGCCTGTACAATATTTATGCCGAAGGCGTCATGCGTGAAGTGCTTGCAGTGAAGAACGGGGGAGGTTGGACGGAGGTTGACGCATCAACAACTTGCTGACGGCACAACTCTAATTTGTTCAAGCAAGGCAGAACTGCTATACAAGTTGGGAGAGGTTAAACGATTCAGTGCACACTAGGTTTGTTGCTCAATGCGAACAAAAATAATGGTTATAGACAAGAATCGCCACAATAAGAGACAAATTTCAACTCGATGGAGTCGACATTGAGGAAGTTAGTGATTTTGTTTACTTGGGCTCCCTCACTATATAGTGCAATTAACAAGCATAACAGAACTTAAGAGAATAATTGCCATGGCAAGGAACCAAATAGGTTCCTTCAACAACATTGGAAGCCGAGCATGCAAAATCTGTATGAGGATTAAGCTTTATAGGCTGCTAGATGCAGCGAGTTTCTCAATTGCCAGTTACGGCTTAGAATCTTGGACGTTTATACAAGAAAGTTGTGGTTGGAGCTGCTTTATGCAGCGAGTTCAGTCTCAATAGCCAGTTACGGCTTACTAAAATCTTGGACGTTTACAAGAAAGTTGGAAGCCAAACTAGACGCATTTGAAATGTGGTGCTATATAAGGATGATGCAGGTCACCTTGAAAGAGAAGAAGGATGATGCAGGTCACCTTGAAAGAGAAGAGGACTAACAGATGCGTACTGATCGTGAGAGAGCTAAAGAGGAAATTTATACAACGCAGAAAAAGAGATATTTCGGTCTCGCATGCAGAAACAATGGATTGGAGAGAACAGTTACACATGGGATGACGGATGGCAAGAGAGGACGGGGCAGGCCAAAAGAGAGGAGTGGGAAAAGATGGTATAAAGCGTTGGATAGAAATGAAGCCGCGCCGCTAAGCAACCTACTAACGGCCCACCGAATGGAATGGACGAGGAATGTGGCACTCACAGCAGCACGTTTAATACAGGGCAACCAGACCAAAGAGAGATCGAGAGAGAGAGAGCGCGCCATCTAACGGCATGATTAGACCAGTTAGTGAGAGAAAATTACAATGCCAAAACAATTGTGCGAGGGCGCTCTACAATAATCACTATCGATGCTTTACAGGGTGCCCCCCCCCCCCAAAAAAAATGTTCCTCGGGAGGGTGTAAAGAATTCTCGTAATTTATGAAACAAAAATGTCAAATTCACTTAAAGAATTGATGAGCCCAAACCTTTTTCTTTTTGTGTGTGAAGGTTTTAAAACAAAGGCCATTAATTAATGTAACAGTCCAAAAACGTGCTCCATTCCAAGAGAAAACTATACAGGTGTGTAGGCCACTACTATTTTATTGACTAAGGATAAAAAGAGCGCCTTACACTAGTCTCAAGATGCATTAAAAGGAATTTTTCACAAGTATGACCTTCACCTCGTCAATTAGGAAATTCATATTTTGTGATTGTCCTTTAAATGAATACGGTGAATGTCAATATCTGTCCCCTGTCAATATCTGGTGATGTAGGCCTACATGACATAACTGACATAACTGGTTAACTGACATAAAGTAATGTCCTTGAAAAAGAAATCTTCGAAAGTTTCAAGCAACTGTGAAGTGTGTTGTCTAATATTTTAAGTAATGTTTTGTATGTGTATTTTTTTTTACTTCTTTGTCTATGATTCTAGATGTTTTAATGTGTTTAATAAGTGTAGTTTAAACATTTTATTCTTCACCCCAGGGATTTTTTTACCGAACAATTGAGACAAATAATACGATTGTAATATTGTTATTCTTCTTACAAATGTTAATGTATGTAGCAATAAACCAAATCAATCCAACAATTCTTTGTATTGTTTTTTAAATAAATGATTGAACAATGAATAAATGTCATTAATTCCATAAATGAAAGTGAAATCGACTGGCATTTCAACCCATTGTATGAAAAGTTGTTCAGTTTTAGACATGGTTTGGAATAGTTGTGATTATAGTGGGGCCGGGTCTACCCAATGTTCCCCAAAATCCTTATGATAGGGTTTGGTTAGATATGGTTATGGTTAGGGTTGGGGAACATAGGTATTGGGGAACATACGTATTGGGGAACATAGGTGCACTCGGGCCAGGGTTCTCACCATAGGGGGTGGGGGGGGGGGCAATTTTGGTTAAACCTGTTAACCATGGTCACTTATTTATAGGACAAGATTTTTCAGGGGGGTGCGATGATTTTTTTAGGGGGGGGGCTGTGCCCCTCCTCATTTCCCCCTTGGCTATGCCGCTGGGCAACTCAAGTTGCACATTAATTTATGGCGTCTTGCAGTTAATTAGGCCCTACTAATGAACAAGACCACAATAATAATCACACGTGGGGATAGCCAACATGTCAAATAAGTATGCCCAACATGAACATGTTTATAAGCAGTAAATGTTAACAACAGGAGCTGATATATATGTTGATTGATACACTGGAGTTAATTCATACATCTGAGTTAATAGTCTTTACACCATAATTGTAACAAAATATAACTAATCCGTGACCACAATAAAAAGACTTTATTGAGTGGCACATGTCAGACGCATGAGTCAGACGCATTCTTGATATTTCAGCTGCGCCTGAACTTTGGCAAATTTGCACTCTGCATTGCTCTAAGCAGCACCGATGAGTGCACGCACTCTTGTTTTACTATACTCCCGAGGACAATACTTTGTGTTTTCCTTTGTCCCTGTAACACTCTCCCATAGACTATAAGCACCACACGTTCATGTGTACACATATGTACTCATTCTACATAACCCCCGAGAACAGACAGAACAGACACACAAAGGGAGAACAAGAGATCCTGTCAGTCCTCTGGAGTTGGGTCTTTTGTTCAAAACGGTCCTCTATAGTACGTGTAGGTTTGTGTGCTTAGTCTATGGGAGAGTGTTGTATTACAGGGAAAAAGGAAAACACAAAGCATTGTCCTCGGGAGTATAGTAAAACAAGAGTGTGTGCATGTGAATGTGGTGCCACCTCAGTTTTGCCTTCCAATTGTGGCGGCTGGATAAGTCCGTACACACACACATATATATACGTACTGTAATTGTTAGTCGTCGTGAAGCTTATATTAATATTTGTAAAATGTCAGTGTAACTGTCAAATGCACAAGAATAAACTATCACACATGAATGACATATGATAGTCTTTCTATGTTAAAAATACTGAATAGATAACTCAGAAATATTCAACTGTTCAAGAAAAACATTAAAAAGGACGTACATGTAACAGAGGTGAGTAAATAATAATAATACAAATCACAACTGGATATAAAGAAATTCCAAATTTAAAACAACCCAGAATATCAAACAAAGTAATGAACTTTGTTATTGAGATGTGGGATATTTATTTCTTCTTAAATTTCAGGTTACAAATACAAAAAAAATATTTCCTATTCTTTTTTTTTCTTCTAAAAGAAACTGAGGGCAAAATGTTTGACTTCTATGCAATTCCAAGAATATATTTCAAAAACTTAATTCATGTTATACTCTTCTATTAAAATAATTGGGAGCTCTTATTAATAGTACTATGTAACATTATACATACAGAACTTGAATCCATACAGAATTCCTAAAAAAAAAAAAGAACAGAAATGTACAGAAAGAAATAACTCAATGCTCTAAAATTAGCATTACTATTACTATACAAATATATAACCATCTGAAACCATAGTTTATAAAAAAAAAATTATGAATACAAAACAAGAAAATCTGACCTTGATATTCACGGGCAAAAATGAGAAATAATCAAAAGTACTATTGAAATAAATCATTAGTTTACCCAATTTCCAACATTTTACACTAAGATATTTTCTTTTCCTTTTTAATATTATACAGAGTAAAATGGAAGCTACCGCTACTTTATCTCTGGAAATTACGTTCATGGTTATTGTCCAGTAAAATGTATGGCAATGTATAGGCCTTTATTTTTTATAATAAAGTAGAGAAGATATTAGGCTCGTATTTTGAAATATTTATTTAAATTCACAGTTTCTTTGAATAGTTCTTTAGAACATGACCACATCAACTTCAACTTCTTTATACAGAGATATATATTTTTTTGAAGCTCAAACATTCCAATACAGCTTTTTTTTTCAACAGTCAGTTGGGATACTTTAAATAAGCTGTGATGTCATAATATACATTTATCTGTCACAAAGACATATCCTGATATATTAAGTTTAGCCATTGTATACATGTACATAAGAGGTTGATTGACCTATCGCCGTTTGCGAGTTAGCCACGCCCCTTAGACAACCCTGTGGAATTTTGCATGTTAAGTTATGCTCGTCTCTGATTTTGCGCGTTCCGCGTCCATTTGTGTATCATGTCATTGGACAATATTCCACAAGCTGCGTTGACGCGATTCTTCTGCGATAGGTTAATAGAGAGATGGTATTGAATTTTAATAATACCGGTACATGGATGTATACCGTTACTTTGTTTTCAAAGTGCTGAAAATTCCACTTCTTCAGGTGAACAAGGGCTGTTTATTGTACCGGTATATAATATTGATGTCTACAAATCTTGGATGATAGTGAATTACCGGTATGATGTTTGAAATGTATACAATGGCTTCTTTGGGGCGTGCAAACTTCAATGTGACACACCAAGACAGCTTATTACAGAAAAATATGTACTCCTTTTTTTATAGCATATATGATGCTGCCACAATTGTATATCAAGCTTTGACTGGAGCATTTCGGACAGACACATCATGCATTTTAGACAAGTTCCAAGACCTTTCAAATTTGCACTGACTTAGCTTTCCATTTTTTTTTCAAAGATCACACTCAGCAATTTCCTTTGTTCGTAATTATTTTTATATTTTATAAAACCTGAACATGATAGAATAGATCTTTATTAAGAGTCTGTAATGGGGTTTTCTGGACTTGACACAAAATACACAAGAAGTCTTTTTTTAGTTGTTAAAAATGTCAGGTTTTCTTTGCTACACGAACCTGCACCGCACTTGCGGCAAGTCTATGTTTGCTTAGACAGGTCATCTACGTCATGATATTGATTATGAAGATTATTCAATAAATGTGTGTCGCAACATTTGACACGCCGCACGTCTTATACATGTACTGACGTTGGAAGTAAAATATGTTTATTCACAACTAAAATTCCAATATGTGTACTGAACTTCAATTTTATTTTCAGTTTAAAGTCGCTACAAAAAATTCACAAAATCAATGGGGCAGAATGACTAAAACAGCATTTTTAAATCTATATTTTGAACAAAAATATCAGGAAAAGGTAAAAACAAAAAAAGTCACAAGTAATTTGTCGTCATGCATGGCTTTTTAATTTAAATAGCCTTTTAAATTTCTGAACATTCAGTGTATGCCATTTGCAGTACTGAACAATTTGCCCCCAAGTACACTTTTAGGCTAGATTAAAAGAAAAAAAAATAACGAAAAAAATTAAAAAGAAAACAAAAACTATCGCTTGCTTCAGAAAATCAGACAAAAAATGCTAGGACTAAATCCATATTTTGCTTGTTTTTCACTACCAAAAAAATACAAGTGGTTTAAAAACCTTGAGTACACACAGGCCAAAAAAACCCTTTAACATAGCAATTACGTCTGTTGCAGGCAGCATACGGTAACATTCAATCTTAGAAATTTATACAATTATGGGAATTCTTATCATTTTTAAAATTATGAATTTAAGGCCTATCTATCATTTTCCTTATAATGTATGTAGTTATAACATAGATATTTGGCAACCTTGTTCTTACCTATGACATTAATGTTTAACGTCCGGCTTGGAGATAAACATAGATGTTGAATAACAATGAATATTCATCAACATAACAACATGTATATTCATTACTTATGAATACTAATCAACGGAATAAGAAAACCCGCGTTGGATATTTTTTTATACATACTTAAAGATAGCAAAATGCAAAAACTCTCCACTGCTTGTGCATGTATATTGCTAAAATAGTTCTTAACGAATATTCAACAGCTAAAACATGCTACCGAATTCACGTCGGTAACTTTTAAATTTATGTAACAAGATTAATTGCATAGAACTTGCGATCTTTATATACAAAGTAAGTTGTACAATGGTTAATATACATACACATAACTCAACCATGAATGGACAAAAAAATACATTTAAACAAAAATCATCAAAACCCTGCAATAATACATGAAGCATTTTTAAAAACAGTAAACCTATGTTAAATGATCAGAGAGAGATAATTTGTGAAAACATTTAAAACGATAACAAAATGGACAGATCAGGCCCAATTTTCCTTTCAATACTGTATGCTGTCACAACCAGTAACCTGGTTTTGACAGGGCTGAGTATTGTTCTGTTTTGGTTAAGCTAAAATCTTTCCCGCTCAGCAATATTGGGTCTCCGCCCAATTGGCAATTCAATGGAATTCATTTCTTTGGTTTATAATATGTGTGATGTGCCACACAGTGCAAATTGATCACAACTTCAGGTTTTGGCTTTTCTGCAAAATAAAGTCTGATCCTTTTGTGAAAAAAAGACGAAATTCGTGTTACCTTTAGAACAAAGTGATCAATAGTAAATTAAAAACAAAATGCGATTTTTTTTTAATTTCAGTCAAAAGATTCATCATTTGACATGAAGGAATTAAATCCTGGCAAGGTGCAGTCCCCTTCATTTTCAATTTAAGTTATTTTACCAAAGAAATTGATGAGCTGCTCAGTAAAGTTGAATTAAACACTTGATCTTTCAATATTTCTGAATAATCGTAAATTCTAACACATTGCAACTGTTGAATTGAGTTTCTGCTCCTGGTTTTTCGACTTCATGGTAAAAAAACAAAAAAAACAAAGGGTGTTAGATGTACAAATGTAAGCTGACATGCCAAACCTTTGCATATTCCGTCTGCAAAAAAATGGTAATGGCTGGTAAAATTCTCTACATTTTCTCAAATTCTGTTTCTTAAAAATAGTAGGTTAGCTGGAGCACAGAAATAACATGGGCACGCATTCATGACTGTGAGACATGGTCTGTGCTGAATTGCTGGTTAAATCAACATGCAGTTTAATGTTTTAAAAGTAGGAAACATGGGCCTTAACATCATAATGTAATACACTTCTAACGATTATTTAATAAAGAATAGAAAATGCCCATTATTTATTTCAATTAGATTGTGACTGCAAAAAAAATACCACTATGTTATAGCCCCAACAAAATTTCATTGATTATACCATGCACGCTGGCCATGCCATGCACTACATTCTGTCATTTGTCATTCTTAAAAATATTAATACTACTAATAATAAAAGACAGGGATGGCTCATTATGATGACTGCCTGTAGGGTTGACATCATAGTCAGTTCATGCATAAAGAGCAGTCGCCAGCGATTATGAGTAGTCTGCCGGTCACAGCTCTTCGGATCGACGACGATAAGAACTAACGACGGCAGGCCGTGCCGGCAGACTGCCGCATGTAGGCCAAGAACGATATCGAGAAAATGAATAAATCATGCTGGCGGTTTGTAATGTGCTGTCACATCAGTGCAGTACTGATGTCATGGCATCCACTGGGAATTGCAAGACTCGACAACTGGTTCAGTCAGTGCTGAAGAAAAACCATTCCTCTTCTAACAATCGAGAACTCAATCATAAGGTTTTGTAATTAAAGCACGCATGTGTATTAAATGTGGTTAGGTTACAAACTTGTTTTAATTTTTAAAAAGTCCATAAAATTAACCCTGCACACTTTTAGCATGCATAAAAATACAGGGAGCATGCTCGACCCAGCATTCTTGTAATTGGTTTTTAAAATTAGGAGATTATGGTTTTAAAACAACACTGACACACTTGACCTTCACTATTTATTAAATATTTTTCATAAATTCAGTTTTTGATTTCTCGTGCACGATTTCATGTCATTTGGGGCAAATGTATTTCCCTTTATTGGCATTTTAGTACTGTTCTCATCAAGAAACTTTCTACTTGTCGAAGAGAACTCTTAATGAGGAAATTGCGATTATTAATAAATATCTGCAGAATGCAAACATGTGTACCATGTATTTTTTTGGACATAATTAAAAGCTTCAAGCCATTTTTGTCTTTCATATACAATACATTGAGTTCAAAGTTACTTACTTAACCATGTTAACTGCATAGCTCGCAGGGCAAGAACATGAAATGTCAACAATTTATGAGCAAGAAAAACTTGCTAGATTTGTTATGGTAATGTTACAGCAAAAATTATTATGAAAAATGCTGTATAATTGACTGTTTATTATGTTACATCATGCACTCTAAAACTGTAGCAGTACTTACTTTCGACTTGAATGAATATCTTGAAATTGCACATTTTGCCTGACATTTTCTCAAATAGGCCACAAGAGGGCACTTCAGGAAGTGACATACAATGTAGTTACTTGGCAGTGGCTGTTCCTGTGTCAGACTGTCCATTCAGGGAGATGTTACTCACATTATGAGTCTGTGCTCTTGGGGTCCGTCAAGTGTAGAACACTTTGAAGTATATGCACATCACTACTCACAGTGGCTGCTGGCTGTTGCCATGGAGACAGGCATCTCATTGTCGGCGGCCCGGCAACCGTTGCTGTCCTCCACCTATTAGATTGGAAAGTGGGTAAACAGTCACAATCTGGCAATCAGGAGAGGGACAAGGTTGATGAGACTGGAATATTACATGTGCATGAGCTTGATAATCAGAGGGAGAAAGATTTGTACTAGGGAGAATACTGAGATAAGGAGATGCAATTCTACAGGTGTCTTCAGACAAGGGCACTTGCAGGCAGTGGCATAGCCCAGGGGGCCAGGTGAGGGGAGGGGGGAGGGGGGAGGGGGGAGGGGGGGGAGGAGAAGCCAAATCCCAAGTGCCCCGGGCCTCCATAAAAGAAAAGAAAAAGGATCTGCCCCTGGTCCAGGAAGTATCCACTTTTTTTCTTTATTAAACAAGAAGAGGAATGCAGATAAGTAGTATTTTACTTGATTCTTATTCCCTTAACCCTAAGAATTGATGACATTTGAATAACGTTACAAGAAAAAAAGCGCCCTCACGCGCCAAAAGAGGCCCCCCCCCCCCCCCCCCCACTGAAAAACCATAATTTTTAGCCAATCCCCCCCCCCCTTTTTGGACCAAAAAAAACACACTTAACAACATTCCATCTCACTGGCACACCACTCAAATGAAAGGTCATGTTGTCCCCTTCAATTTGATACCACTTTCAAGACTGTGCTTCTTGTACCGGTAGTTCTGAAGATTTAGCACATTTCCACTTTTCAGTTGTGTCCACTTCTCCGTGGAATTGCCCTGGAGCCCTTTTGAACATTCACTTTTAATAATGCAAGTAACAGCACAGCAGTCTTGGACGCTCCTCTACAGAAGGCTTTGTCATTCTCTCGGACTGATGTCACCCCCATTCATGAATTATTTTGTGTTGTTCTATCCTTGATACAACATTTGTATAACTTATTTTGTATATTTTATCATTATCAACTTTTTTGTATGAATAAAAATTAAAACAAACAAACAAACAAACAAACAAACAAACAAACACCCCTACGTGTACCACAAGGATGACTACTAGATATAGGCAAAGGGTCAACATGTATTATCTTTCTGGATACATGTTGGCTTAATTGTCTTAATCAAACAAACAAAAAACTATTTTCAGAGAATTTATACTAATTTGTCCCACTTTCATCTTCTCTGTACTTCTCCCAAAAAAATACTTGTTTGTAGTAAAAAAAAAAAAAAGTAAAGAAAAAGGAGAGTGGGGTAGGAAGAAGGCTTGGGTAGTAAGACTTAAAACAAGGAAGATTTTTAAAATGGGGTAAATTGGGAGCAACACATTTCATTTTTTGGGGGGAGGGGGATGCAATTAACATACGCATGCTAGCTGATACCGTATGTCACAAAGTCACATATCCGTAAGTGTGTGTCGCATAATCAAAGGGCCTGAATAACGATTGTTCAAATATTCCTGGTGAAGTGATAGCTGCATGTACAAATTGTATGTCAACTTGAAGTTGATGACATAATAATGATACTTCTGCAAACCTCCACCTCAAAACCTTCCTTTAAATCTTCAGTGGAAAGATATTAGCTTAACTGAATTCTTCAACACTTGTGCTTTCTGCTAAATTGTCCAGAATAATAAACAATAATAATAATAATTATAATACCGGAGTCTTATATAGTGCACGTATCTAACAACAGTTAGGTACTCAAGGCGCTGGAAATTATGTCTATAATTCAAGACAAGTTAAATGAAGTTTATGAGAAATATGAGACCCACTATGTAGCACCTTATAAGGGTTTACAAGGTGCTGCGGCACACATTGCAGCCACTGCCAGCAACACCAGGGCAAACCCCTTCTCTTAGCGACAAGTGTTACTGGGTTCTTTAATGTGCATTACACAACACACATGACCAATGGGCTTCACGTCCCATCCGAAGGACAAAGCAATAATGGTAAAGTGCCTTGCTCAAGAGCACAAGCACCATGTTCCCACGGTCAGGATTCGAACCCATGTACCACGGCACACGAGTCGAACACCGTAACCATCAGATCACAGCACCCCACAAAGGAGAGAGTACAACCTAACATGCATGTAGCCCAGGTGGACTCCCTTACCACACTTCGTGTCAGTTGTAATGCTATAAAGAGGGTGTCCATCCTTGGCTAAACCTAACCCATCAGTTTAAATGGTTTTGGACTTTATTTGGAAAGTTTCTTTCGATTTCGATTTCCTTATTCCGCAGGTTTTTTTCTCAGATCAGCTGATTTCCTCTTTTTAATTCCCATGTCTGCCATGAAGAATTGAAAAAAAAATGTATACAAAATCTTTTTAAGTCTTAAAATGTCCCATTTTCTTGTGGCTTTACAGTATGCACGATTTATGTAGAGCAGGGCACACGAATATTTCCCTTTACTGAGTAAAATTCTTGAAATACATTCAAAGACTGACATGGCCAGTGGCGGCGGAACACCGCTGTTGGGAACATTCTCCAATCAGAGAGAGAGAGAGACAGTCTGCCAGCAATTACAATCCCCATGCAATCGGAGAGGTTTCAAAATGTCAGCCCTGTGAATGTTTGTTGGTTGTGTGCTGAGCTTAATGCGCTGAAATGTGTACAAGTACATGTACGTGCACACAACGTACATGTACTGTTTCATGTCTTATCAATTCCTCTCAATTACACGTGTATGATGCAACAGTCGTGCATCCATGCAGACCGTTCAGACCAATTATAATTACCTGTGTTATACAGTAATGCTCTAAGTTAATAACCATCCACGCAAAATTCTAAAGTTACAGCAGCTACCTCTAATGATGGAGTGGAATTATTTAACAAAACTACTAAAAATAATTCAATTTCTTTTTTGTAGCTTGCACATTGACAAAATATTTTTATGATCATGAAGATTTGTATGACAAAAGTGATGTACTGTACATTTCAAATAATCATGCATGCATTTCATAATATTCCTCACTGCCCCCCCCCCCCAAACAAGTTTCACTTACAAATATTTTAAACTCCCTGATACCTTGTATTCATGCTTAAAGTATTTCTTTGAAAGCTCTGCAAGGAAATGAACATTATTGATAATAATAATTATGCTTACATGTATATAGAGCTTTCCATCGTATCAACAATCTCAAAGCGCTTTACAACTATTACCCCGTTCATCAGGCCATGGGACCACGCGGCAACTGATATCAGTGCTCAATCGGTCCCCGACCCCAACCCTCACAGGTACCCATTTATACTCCTGGGTGGAGAGAGGCAATTGTAGTTACATTGTAAGTGTCTTGCCCAAGAACACAAGCACCATGGTCCTGGCAGGGCTCAAACCCACGCACCTTCGTACATGAGTCAAACACCGTAACCACTGGACCATGGCATGCTACAATTGATAACCAATTCAATTTTTTAAAAAGGGCTTCTTATTAGGCTTCCAAAGAGTTCAGACCTTTTGTGACACCTTAATTGAAAATGATGGTCCTTTCAACAACCCTTCTTCCTTCACAATTCACCGGGCGGTTGTGAAGGATTTTACCAGATTGAAGAAGGCAGAGCCCAGCCACGTTTATTTTACATGGGGCTTGATGCTCCTTGAAACTTGGTAGGTAGTGTGCCACTGGGTTCCTCCAAGGTGGAGGATTTTGTAGGATTGAGGAGGTAGAGCACGGCCACTATTACTTTGGGGCTTGATGCCCTTGAAACTTGGCAGGTGCAAAGAGTGTGCCACTGGGTTCCTCAAGAGTGGAGGATTTTGTAGGATTGAGGAAGGTACAGCACGGCCACTATTACTTTGGGGCTTGAAACTTGGTAGGTACCAAGAGTGTGCCACTGGGTTCCTCCACAGTGGAGGATTTTGTAGGATTGAGGAAGGTAGATCACGGCCACTATTACCGGTACTTTGGGCATGATGCCTCTTGAAGGTACAAAGAGTGTGCCACTAGGGAAGCACAGGGGAGGATTTTGCCTGATTGAGGAAGGTAGAGCCCAGCCACTATTACTGCAATGATGCCCCTTGAAACTTGATAGTACAAAGAGTGTGCCACTGGGTTCCTGCACAGTGGATGATTTTGTAGGATTGAGGGAGGTAGAGCCCAGCCACTATTATTTTACGTGAGGCTTGATCGATGCCCCTTGAAAGCCTTAGTACAAGCATTGTTTCTCTTGGTTCCTGTCCATAATGGTGATTTCAAAAGATCCAGGTAGGTTCTTAGACTAATGATTGATCAAACTTCCCGTGGCAAGTGGCAAAATGTCTGTACAAGTAAGCAGGAGGTTGTGGGTTTGAGTCCCATCTGAGTGAGCTTTTGAATTTTTCTTGCACACCTTCAGAAAGCACAGAATACAGTGATTTATATGAAATCCCATTGGTAGAGAAAAAAATATTAATTAACCCTAGCTCCTAGCATAAGTTACAAGAAACCATACCCATCCAGGCAATTTCCAACACCCACATGGGAAATCGTACACACACACTGTTGGACTTAGTTTCTGGAGGTATATGCCAAACCCAATGTAAAAGACCATCAGTTTAGGGGTACTGTACCCATTCTAACAGATTTCAACAACACCTGCTGTTGGACTTTGATGGGTTGAGTTCGGTTAGATTTAAACTATAATTGTAATGTGCCTTTAAACTAGAACCTTTAAATTTGCAATTTATTACAGGATTGAAATGGTGACTTTCAGTGCTGCTACTGCTGCTGACGATGCTTGTCATGATGAGATGGCTGATGAGAGATCTTATCTCACTGAAAGACACTCATCAACCTGTCTCAGGTAACTTGATGACAGCCGGAAATGCTAACAGCAGGTGTCGAAGGAAGAAGCTTGTCAACAAAATGAAATGAAAGTAAAGATAATTAAGTCACTACAAAAAAGTAGTTTTATGCTATTTTGCTAAGTAGAAATAAAAATGCTTGGAAGCTTGTATATTTTTTTGGGGGGGGGGGGGTAATCAGCTAAGAACTATTCAAAACCACTGTACATGCACTGCAGTAATGCGTCTGATTAAACCTGCTCTCCTTAAGCAAATTTCTGCTTAGCCAACTTCTGTGCTTTAAGCTCTATAAAAATATT